ACATGGCCTCATACCGGCGGGAGGTAGCTTGTGGTTGAGCCGGTTGATCCCAGGGCTGGACCATAGCCTGGCGAAGTGTAGTTATTAGTGGCAGGGCTATGGATGTGGACTGCTCTCCCCGAACGACATCGTAAAACCAATCCGTGGAAGGACCTGGCTGCTGATGAGCTTCGATCTCAAGGGACCGAATGAAATGGGACATCAGCTCCGTAAAAGAGACATGGGGTTCGTCAGATGAAGTGGGCCCTTGGTATGCAACTGCCACATCGGGGGATGTCGAGTCGACCTCCAACTCACTGGAGTCTTCATCGTAGTGGCGGCGGTCAATTGAGGAAGAGGTTTCAGGAGAAGTTGGATGCCTACTCTCCACACGCCTCGAGGTGGATGGTATGTCCCTCTGGACCGATGGTGACCTACGATCCCAAGGAAGGTAATGGTATGGTTGATAACCACCCCAGCTGGGGGGAGCACCATATCCAGGCATCAACCAATCATCATCCTGATGTTCGGACGAATGACTGCGACACCTTGGAGGCAATGGCGAAGCTCCATGAGGCTCAGTTGTGGGCATAGGCGTTGGCGAGTGTTCCCTCGGTGGGGAGTCTCTAATCTCACCATCAGAGATGGACTCCCGAAGCGGCTCCTCCTGTTGTTGAGGGGGCACACTCTCAGGCCGAGTGATTGGCCTGGGGGATCCCGGCGGAGTCACCTGCATAGCGGATTGCAGGGCCGGTCCCGAGGGAGTCGGTACCATGGCAGCCGTCGGTACCGAGAAGCCCAATGAGCCTGAGCCCTGGTGTTTCGGGCGGTCAGGTTTCTTGCTTTTGTGAGTGGGCTTGTCTGCCTTTTCCTTCCTCAGCTTCTTATGGGTGGAAGGTTTATCCAAGCCAGTATGCTTGCGCTTCTCTCGTTTTTTAGCTGGGGAAGAAGGCAGCAATTGAGTCTCCATAGAAGCGGCGCCTTCATTCGAAGGGCGCTGCAGAGGATCAGCAGAAGTTGAAGTGGGGCGCTTCGCAGGAGCGCTCGCGGTGGAGGAGGAACGCTGAGGAGGCGCAGCGGAAGAGGAACCAGGCCGTAAGACCAGTTGGTCAGACTGCATTAACGCCTGGTCCCACAGGAGTTTCCCAAGGCGATTTTCCCTGTTCTTTCTCGCTTGCTTGGTAATCGCCAAGCAATGGCCGCATTTGTCGGTTCTATGCCCCTCGCCCAGGCAGAGGAAGCACAGATCATGTGGATCGGCAGGCGACCTTTTGGATCCACATTCGGTGCATTTGTGGAAAGCCGCTCACTGCGCCATCGTGGAAAAGGAAGAAAGAGAAGGTAGTGTAGAGGGTAAGATAATATTTTTGTTTTTTGTTTTTTTTATAGAAATGAAGGGATTTAAGAAGAACCGGGAAGAGCAACAAACTTGGATCAAGAGAAGAAAAGTTTAGGAGATAAATGCAAAAAATAGACAAGAAGCACAAGATCTAAGCGAGGGACGAACAGGCACAAGGCACAGTGAACGGCGGTCGCAAAGACTGAATAAAATGGTGGACACTCTGCTCTATTTATACCACCGAGGGAGAGGGGAGCAGAGTTTTTCCCGCCAAAAACCGTTAGCTTTCTAATCTTCCAGCCTAGGCACTGTGCAGGCGCAGCACCCATATGTGTGATGCACAGAGGCCACGACGAAGAATTAGCGGTATCGATGGAAACATGTAGAAGAATTTGTTCTCCCATGACACCATGAGTGCATCCCCGATCAAATTCAGGCTGATGCCCACTGGGGATAAGTATGTCCTGCAGATGGAGTTGTCGTGAGTCACAAATAAGTCTATGTCTGGTGTCCCCCAAAGTTGAAACAGGTATAGGCAGACTTGTCGATTTAGCTCCCACTCGTGTGTTGTTGACATGTGTCTGCTGAGGGAGTCAGCTTCCTCGTTGTCAGTGCCTGAGAGATGGACAGCTAGAGGAGTAATCCTGTGGGCAATTCACCAGTTCCACATGTGCAGCGAGAGCAAACAGTACTGACTCCATACCTGTTTGTTTATATAGAACATGGTCACAACATTTTCCAACACAATCTGGACTGTGTGGTCTTAGAGGAAGATTTGGGAGGAACGTAGCACTTTGTAGACCACCAGCAATTCCAGGTAGTTGATATGCCTGGTGGTCTCGTGTCCATGCCAAGCGCCTTGGGCCTGAAGAGACATGCAGTGGGCACTCCAACCGGTCAGGGAAGCGTCAGTATAGAGGGTCATGGTCAGTTCCAGTGCATGGAATGGAACTCTGTGGGAGAGATTGGTATCAACAGTCCACCAGTACAAGGTCTGGAGGACTGAGTGCGGAGGTTGTAGTATCTGATTGGCTGATCACTTTCCGGGTGGAAAATGTGATTGAACCAGGGCTGCAAAGGTCTCATCCGCAGTCTTGCATTCAGCACCACTGAAACCATGGATGCCATATGACCAAGCACCTGTTGAATCCAATGCTCAGAGACAGTCTGCTGGGCAGTGATCTGTCGAATAGAGTTATCAGTCTTTCTTGTTGGTCCCAAGGAAGGAAGGCTCATGTGTGTAGAGTCCAGGAGTGCTCCGAGGAAATTGATGACCTGGAAGGGAACGAGGCATGATTTCCCGGTGTTAATACGCAGTCCAGTTGGTCAAGCAAAGAACAGGTGATATCAATTGAGGTCAAAATGTCATTCCTCTAAACATATATGGTAGGGGGACCCAGTACCTCAACAGTTGTGGTGCAGGAGCCTGTGGTGGTAAGAGGGAGGAGAGGCATTGGGATGCCCTTGGAGATTCCTCCAGAGATGTTGGCATTGGAATTGGAGATCTTGCAGGTGGGTTGGTCTGGTCACAATTGAGGGGGAGATTCTCGGATCTTGCCATCAGACTCTCTGGCCAAGGGATCAGAATGCTTGGGACTGGAAAGTGCTGAGAGAGTAATCTGCGGTGGTGACGCTGGTGGAGTCACTTGCATGATGGATTGGCAAACTGGAGGTTTGGCCAGAGTCAAGATCGGGACCAAGATCGGGACCGAGACTGAAGCAGCAGTCGGGTCACGGCAGGGCACCTTGTCATGTTTTTTGTGCCTGCGCTTGGCTTTGTTGGGCTTGTCCTTCTTAGGATGCTTCGATTTCAATGATTCATCGGACCCGACCTGTTTCCTCTTCTCCTTCTGTTTACAGGGAGGAGAATGTGAGGAGCACTTTCCATCCTTGCCGGTCAGGTCCCCTTCAGATGAACAAGGAGGAGTGGCTGAAGAGCTGGCCTCAGCTGATACCTGCTTCATCGCAACCATTGCTTGGTCCCACAGCATTTTATGCTGCCTGTTCTCACATATTTTGCAAGCCTGCCTGGTGAAAGACTGCATTTGTTGGTTCTGTGTCCTTCTCCAAGACAGAGAAGATACAGAACATAAGGATCTGTGGGGGACATTTTGGCTCCACAGAAGGCTGTCTGCTGTGCCATTAAGAAGAAAGAGAAATAGAAACAGTGAATGGAGATGGTTTTATGGGAAAAAATGACAATAGATGATTTTTTCTATTTATTTTTATTTTTATTTTGGAAGGGGAAAGGGAAGAGGGGGTGAAACAAGAAGTAAGGGTAGGGGTTTGGTAAGGAACGAACTGGGTTTGGGAGTGAAAGTTGTAAAGTTTAAAAGAGACAAGTTCAAAATTTATAGATTACATGGAGAACTACAAGTAGACAAGCAAAGAGAAAAGCTCAAGGCATGGTGAACAGTGGTCACAAGCAGACTGGGGAAAGGGTGGGCACTCCGACCATTTATAGTACGGGGGGAGGGTGTGGAGTTCCTGCCAAAAACTGCTAATGCTAGTAAATCTTCCCGGCAACAGGCACTGCGCAGGCACAGCACCCATAATGTGTGATGCACGGAGACCACGATGAAGAATTGTACTGTATGTATGAGTGTGCATGACACTTGAATAATCTAGCTTTATTCCTAACATAAATTAATCTTAAAAAGTCATATGCATTCAGCATGAGGAATGTTTATGTGTATGTTAAGGGAAGAAGTGTGCACCTGCCTTTTCTTCAGGTGTCATAGTGATTCACAATCATGATGATACTGGCTGACATGTTATTGGAAAAGTGGTATCCAAAATTTCAGAATGCATCACTTCCAAGCTCAGAATCCCAGTCCATATATGACTTGGTTTGCTCTGTGCCTTGTGCCCCAAATTCTGGCTATCAGACCTACCTGGATTACTTGAAAAACATGTAGCATCTTCCACTTGGAGAGAGATACCTACAGAATGCCCCATCTTAAGTGTCTTCTAGTGACATATTATACTGAACTATGAGTATTCCAAAGTTCATTTCTCACCATTGTGGAAATGCTATAAAATCAAGTGTGCGTGTGTGTGTGTGCATGCACGAGAGAGAGAGAGAGAGAGATTACAATAATAAATTATACTGTTAATTTATATTATTTTATTTTATTATTTTAATGAAGTTTATTTATGTCTGTGAGCCGCCCTGAGGCTTCGGCGAATGGGGCAGCATAGAAGTTTACTAAAGAAATGAAATGAAATGAAATGAAATGAAATGAAATGAAATGTAATGTAACTGGACTATGTGTAGCAACTATTAGCTTTTTGCACCATGTGGAGGTGCCTAAGAATAAGCAACTAACTGAGCTGTTTCAAACTGGTGATAATTGCTAGTTGCAGTCAGTGCCAATCTAACAACTAAATTCTACATTATTCAAGGTTTCCAAGTTGCCTTTCAGGCAGTATCATGAACAATGTACAGTACTAGTTCATTTTGGAAGTCACTGTAGAAGATGGAGAGGGGATGAGTTAGTTGGTAGCAGCCAGCAATGAAAATATTGGGCTATATTCTTTACAAAAGGGTATATTGTTATAATTAAAAGAGAGATTTGAAGACAGAAAGATTACTCTTTCAGGTATATGATTTAGGGCATACACATATGCTCAGACATAGTACTAGAATGAAAACAAAGCAATCAAATCTGTTTTTGCTTACCATTACCCTGTCTCTTGATTTAAAGCCAGACACTGGATCATCAAAATCTCGAACAGCTATTAAAATGAAGGAAATGAACAGGAAAAAAAATGAAAAAGAATAATTATACAAGTGCATAATGTAACAAATTCAGTGACTATAATAGCTCTTATCATTATTAAAGCCATGCATTTAGGATCACACCAATAATAGCAACAGCTACTTTACTGAAAAATTACTCTAGTAATAGTCTTAAGGGAAATAAGGTAGAAAATTGTAGAAGAAATTATCATTAGATAATTTTAGTAACTGTTTATTTACCAAATTGCACAAAAAATACAGAGGATTCAAGTATATATTTATCCATTACATGTGCATACAATGTCATTTAAACAAATTTTACTTTGCATTCTTGAGGCTGTAGCTAGCAAGCAACAGAAAAGCACGTAAAAGAAGCTTTTTTGAAGAGACAATTGACCCTACATAACTGCTATTTGGCCAAGTGAGTGAAAATGTACAGGTACTCATAAACTTTCAAGAACAACCTCTTTTTTAAATAAAACAAATCTGCAAGTAATTGCATAATACCCTCAGTCAGAAATTTCTATTTTACCTCTTCTCTTTAAAAAAAGTTGTTCAAGATTCAACCAAAAGTTTCTACATATTTCAGAAGTTTGTATTCGTCATTGTGAGTTTTGTTTAACTGGCTCTGCCATTTAACAGTTCCTTTTTGTTACTTTCCTGTTCAGTGTGTAAAATTCAGCATTATAATAGGAACTAAGAACACTGGTGGAAGACCACATAACAGAATCTGGACAACAATCACAGCTTTGCCCAGACCACTGGGGAAATGACACAGAGCTGTGAGGGAAGTGAGTAAAGAAACAAGTAATGTGTTTTTTCAAAAGCTGAACAAGCACCATAGTGGTTCAGATCGTGGCTATGTTCATATGACACAACTGGAGATGACTAGACAGTGGCTGACTATATGACCACAGAAATCTATTGCATTTCCACAGGTCAATGAATCTTACCTTTATGTATTACACAGACCTGCACTAAACACAGAGTAAGCCTCCAACTAAAGAGAACCATATTAGAAAGACAGTCAATATAAGCTACACTTGGTTTTAAGTCAACCCTACCTGGACAGCCATCTGAGAGGGATGGTTTAACTTGGAGTCCTGCACTGAACACAGGCTTGGACCTGATGCCCCTCTAACCCCTTCAAACTCTATTATTCTATGATTCTATGAACTTACTTTCAGAATTTCTCCTCATTTTTTTTAATTTCTTTTTTTGCTCCCTTAGCAATGCCTGTTGCTGAATGTCCAAGGTATCATTATTGGTAGGAGGATCAGGATACATGCATCTTGTTTCTACTCGTGTATCTGAATCTATTACATAAAAAAACACTGAGAAATCGCACATATTTTTCTTCAGGATGTTATAAAACATATATAAATAATACTAGTCAGAATCTGCATTGGCTTCCTTTCACTCAATCCTCAATGAGACAATGTAGTCTTTTGGATTGGAAAATTTTATCACACAATGGAATACACACCAGCTTCTTTGACTTTTTTTGTCTATTGTCTATTTGAGGAAATATGATGGATTTACAAAGGGTTCTTTTTAAACTGAAGTAAGTCATAATTTGAACCAAACTTCCACCTACATATTAAAAAAAACCCAGAAAATTAATTTTAAGTAATGGATACCAGTTGTGGGCTTTATTACTGAATTTTGGGACTATCATTTTCAACTTGTATATATTCATATTTGTTATAATTGTATAGGGAGGTTATGTTTAATCTCGTACTTGAACATATTTTATATTTTGTACTTTCAGTGTGTTCAGCCACTTTCTGCAAAGTTTAATTTTTCTATTAAGCATTAAATGCACAAGACATGTAATGCGTTGCAATCAACCTTTGATAAAAGTTCAGTAAGGACTATGTTCAGTGGAAACAGAATGCCCTCAGGCCCTTGATAAGCAGCAGCTGGAAGCGGGGGGGGGGGGGGGGGATAAGGACAAGCGCTTTCCTCCAGAAGCTGCTTCAGCAACACAGGTCTCTTGATTGCTGTGTGTCTTGCATGTCCTGTGTTTGTCCTGCTTCCTTGCCTTGCTTACCATGCATTCCTGCTCCTGAATCACACCTTGTTATCCTGCCCCAAGGCACCAGCTTCTTTCTCTGTTGTCTTACTGGTGATCAGCCTTTGGCTTGTTTGTGACCAAGTCCTTGCCTTGCTTCACTATGTACTCCTGGTTCCTGACCCAGCCTGTGTTTCTTGCCTGTGATTCTTACTTCATTATTGGACTATGGACTGTGTTTAGACACTGCGCCTTGCCTCAGTTTCTGGTGCATCTGCCTTGACTTCTGCTGCCCATGACCTGGACCCTGACAAGTACTACAGTGGTTATTTGGCTAAGAATGCAGGGCCAGTACTGCACTATTTTAAAAGTGATCTTTTTAACCTCAGATTTCAAGTTGCAGTGATCTGAACCAATTAGATACTGCCTTTGGGGGGTAACAGCCAAAGAAGGCACAGGGATACTCTCCACAAATGTAGCATCTGACTGGTTCAGTTTGCTAGCACTTGAAATCTAAAGTTAAAATGTCTTCATGTTGTAAAATGGCATGGTGTGGGCCCTGCAGATATAGGCTCATCTGTCTGTTGAAAGCTTGCTTCTGGCAGTGGTGCTGTTGGAAAAGGGGACAGAGAGGAGGAGAAGCCACTATAGCAGCAGTAGTAGTCTGCCCGTAGTGACAACTGCAACAGGGTTAGGGCAAGGCCCTTTTCAGTGTCTGGTCCCACAGCAGTTGCCAGTCCATGATGACCTCTGATATCAGTGCATCTACCTTAACTGTATCTGGAGCAAACCCATAGTTTTCTGTAACTATAGATCATAGCCACAATGAGACACTAATGACAAATATATTGCAAAGTAGTCTAAGCAACCTCCAATAGTTAAAGTCATTCCCTTTAAAGCCGACGAAGTGACTGAAAATTAGGAAGACCATAATAGCAAAAGTGATACTAACCTTTGTATTTAAGTTCATTAAATTCACGGATATTCTGTACATTGACAGGATCAGCAACATCCTTTGATGATGGTCGCCTGACTGGAGCTTGCATGCGAAGTCTAGCCATCTCAAATATATCCATGTTGTATTTCTCTTTCCTCCTGCTAAAAATGTCAACATCATGCTTTCAAAATTACATATTTCATAAATACGTGGTTTCATTTATTAACACAAAGAAATTGAAAGTTGGAGAGTTGTAAACTAAATGAAACCACTTCCCAACTCCATTATGCTCTTGTTGTTGTTAGTTGCGAAGTCATGTCCAACCCATTGCAACCCCATGGACAACATTCCTCCAGGCCTTCCTTTACTTTTGACTATGCATAGATGCATTGCATTGACAGGTGCAGAATTTCCTGTTTCATCACTACCAAATACTGGATTTTTATTGTCACTGGCTGCCATCCTGATGATTCCCCGTTAATGATTACCTTCTGCTTTGGCATTGCCCTTCTTTGGGATCGGAATGTAAACTGACCTTTTCCAATCCTGTGGCAACTGCTGAGTTTTCCAAATTTGCTGGCATATTGAGTGTAGCATTTTTATTGCATCGCCTTTTAGGATTTTGAGTAGCTCAGCTGGAATACTGTCACCTCCACTAGCTTTGTTGTTGCTCAGCCTTCCTAAGGCCCATTTGACTTCACATTCCAGGATGTCTGGCTCGAGGTCAGTGACCACCCCATCGTGGTTATCAGGGACGTTAAGCTCTTTCTTGTATAGTTCTTCTGTGTAATCTTGCCACCTCTTCTTAATCTCTTCTGCCTCTGTTAGATCCCTGCCATTTTGGTCCTTTATCATGCCCATCTTTGCATGAAACGTTCCCTTCATATCTCCAATTTTCTTGAAGAGCTCTCTGGTCCTCCCTATTCTATTGTTTTCTTCTATTTCTTTGCACTGTTCATTTAAGAAGGCATTCTTATCTCTTCTAGCTATTCTCTGGAATTCTGCATTCAATTGTTTGTATCTTTCTCTTTCTCCCTTGCCTTTCGCTTCCCTTCTTTCCTCTGCTATTTGTAAAGCTTCCTCAGACAGCCATTTTGCTTTCTTGCATTGCTTTTTCTTTGAGATGGTTTTAGTTGCTGCCTCTTGTACAATGCTGTGAAACTCTGTCCATAGTTCTTCAGGCACTCTGTCTATCAGATCTAATTCCTTAAATCTATTTGTCACCTCTACTGTATATTCATCAGGGATATGATTTAGGTCATACCTGAGTGGCCTAGTGCTTTTCCCTACTTTCTTCAACTTAAGCCTAAATTTTGCAACCAGAAGCTCATGATCTGAGCCACAGTCAGCTCCTGGTCTATTTTTTACTGACTGTATAGAGCTTCTCCATCTTTGGCTGCAGAGCACATAGTCAATCTGATTTCTGTGTTGACCATCTGGTGATGTCCATGTGTAGAGTCGTCTCTTGGGTTGCTGGAAAAGAGTGTTTGCTATGACCATCGTATTCTCTTGACAAAATTCTATCAGCCTGTGCCCCGCTTCATTTTGTACTCCAAGGCCAAACTTGCCTGTTATTCCGGTTCTCTTTTGGCTTCCTACTTTAGCATTCCAATCCCCCATGATGATAAGGACATCATTTTTGGGTGTTAATTCTAAAAGGTGTTGTAGGCCTTCATAGAACTGGTCAACTTCAGCCTCTTCAGCACCAGTGGTTGAGGCATAGACTTGGACTATTGTGATGTTGAATGGTTTGCCTTGGATTCGAACTGAGATCATTCTGTCATTTTGGAGATTGTATCCCAGTACTGCTTTTCCTACTCTTTTATTGACTATGAAGGCTACTCCATTTCTTCTGAGGGATTCTTGCCCACAGTAGTATATCTCATGGTCATCTGAATTAAATTCACCCATTCCTGTCCATTTTAGTTCACTGATTCCTAAGAGGTCAATGTTCAGTCTTGTCATCTCGTTTGACTACATCCAGCTTGCCTTGAATCATGGATCTTACATTCCAGGTTCCTATGGAGTATAGATCTTTACAGCATCAGACTTTCCTTTCACCACCAGATACATCTGCAACTGAATGTCCTTTCAGCTTTGACCCAGTCGCTTCATTCTTTCTGGCGCTACTAGTACTAGCCCTCCGCTCTTCCCCAGTAGCATATTGGACACCTTCCGACCTGAGGGGCTCATCTTCCGACATCATATCTTTTTGCCTTTTGGTACTGTCCACGGGGTTTTCATGGCAAAGATACTGGAGTGGGTTGCCATTTCCTTCTCCAGTGGATCACGTTTTGTCAGAGCTCTCTGCTATGAACTGTCCATGTTGGGTGGCCCTGCACGGCATAGCTCATAGCTTCATTGAGCTACGCAAGCCCCTTTGCCACAACAAGGCAGTGATCCATGAAGGAGCCAGTATGCTCTATGGAACCACTAAGAAAGAAATGCAGACACGAAATTGAACAAGTTACAAATCAGGGACTGGCAATGAGGTCCATAGTACCACTTTGCTACATTGTACATCAATTTTAAACAATAAATTAAGAGGTTCTCATCTCTTACCCTATCCTTTCCCTGTCAAAAGGCACCATAGGCATGGCTCACACAGCTATGTAGGGCCTATAGGGATGGCAAATCTTGTTACAAATCCCATTTATGCACTTCGGTAAGCTAATATCTTTGGTATCATGAGAAATGTACAAGCAGCAGTAGACCCAAATTCCCTCTTTCCAGTACTTGTATTCCTCCTCACATCAGCATAACCTTTGTAGTCAGGCATTCCCCTGGAGTATTTTTCTTTCCCTGTCTATTCATTTTCCAAGAACTAGAAGGGTGAAAGAGAAAATTATCTTGGCCATAAAGTTTTTCACTTTCCCCCTTAAAGCTTCAAAAGCTGAAGCTGCAGTGTCATTTGTTCCCACATGTATAAGGAAGGAAAACACATCAGTGCACTTTACGAGACTTGGCAATCCTTCAGTTACATCACTCCAGGAAGACAGCATACCTAACAAGTCCACAGGTCTTCACAACAAACGTGTGTTTTCATCTCACGCAGCAGGGAGTCTTGTCAGAACTAACACTCTTCGTGTTCTTGTAGGCCTCGGTATCATTGACACCACTTGGTTGACCTTTGGCCTCTTGCTCTGTGTTACAAAGGATGACTTACAGTTCTTCCACTGCAGCCTGCCCTCCAGTCTCATCCTTGAGTATCTGAAAGTGGTTCCATAGTTCCACTGTTTCCACTGGTGCAGGGTGTCTTCTAGTTCTTCTGCCGTCACCCATTTCCAGGAAGATTCTTCCTTGTTTTTCCTTGCCTCATGATTCTCCTCTTCCATCTCAGCTTGCTATTGCTCGTCTAGTTCTTGTACTACAGATGGCTGCTGCAGTTCTACCACTCCGTCTAAAAACTCTTATTTTTATTTTTTATTATTTATTAAAACATTTCTATGCCGCCCCTTGCTGTAGCCTCTTCATCTTCTCTAACTCCCTTGAAGGTAGACACTTGCCGCTTTAGTGTACTCACCTTTTCCTCCAACAGTGCTTGCACTTGTTGATGTGTAGGCCATGTTGACCTCCAGCAAGGAAACATTGCACAGACCTTGCAAGTCACCACCACTGGGGACTCTCCTCAGTCCATACTCTCTACTGCCTTTTTGATTCTACCTTGTAGGTTACACTGTAACAATCAGTGCTTTCTCCTATTTTCCCTGAAGGTTAACAACAGAGTCTCACCAGTAACTGAGAGTGTATTACAGGAAAGAAAAGTGTATTACAAGTAAACAAAGAAAAAGAAAAGATGGGGTGGATAGGTGCTGATCATGCTCTCCAGGAGCTTGGCTGCTTGTATAAATAGTCCCTCGTCCACCTGAGGCAACTTCCTCTGATCTGCTCAGCTAGGAGTCAGCAGTCCAAATGTAACTCTTTCTATTAACATCTAATTTTATGGATTTTTAATTCCTCATGAAAATCTTTTAATATTTCTTCAGTTGCGTATTACTTGTCCAAAGAGACTGTGCAGCTTAGCAAATGACTTAGTGCAAGCCAAATTCCTCACCCTTTTGCTGGCATGTCATCATCATCACTATGTACTTTCAACAATTGCTCCTGTAGACGCTGCTCTTCACTACGGAGCTGCTTCCTCATCTCTGACAGCTCATTTATTACATCCTTCCTTTCTTCTGCAATTCAGTACAAAGAGAATTTTATACAGAATAGTAGCATCTGCTTTCCCTTGAGAAATTTCAGAGAAGTAGGCATAATGGGTATTATCCCATAACATACAAATTTCTTACCATATGCACGGAGTTGGTTTCTTCTAGCTGGGACTGGAGGAGATTGAACTCTGGGAAGATCCTAGTAAAACATAAATATATACATTTATACATACATTTAGAGGCAGGGAGGGAAGGGAGGGAGCTTAAAAATAATCATATCAATAAGGGGGGAATAAATGGTAATTCCTTTTGATTTATTTTCCTATATTTGAAAGGCCTAACTATATAAGCTGTTAACAATGTAATTAGCTATCACTTTTTAAAATACCAGGTCTAGGGCAAATAGTGATCAGCATCACAAAGCATGCGGAGGTATGGTTTAATCCTATCCTTTCCCTTGCCAGTAATCCCCACTCACTACCATACCCCCACTACCATACCCCCACAGATAGCATTAGAAACAAAATTCACACTGGCAGCAATAGAAGACTTTTTCGAAAGGGGGGAAGTTTCTTTTACCTGGATTATTACTTGAATTTCCCCTTCCCGTGTTCAGTGCTGCTGATGGCTACTGCATCTCCTGCCCATCCCCACCTCCTGGGATGATAGGTGGTTACTGATCACTTTGTTAGAGTTACATTTAGTTAGCCCAAAAAAACCCCCACAAAACAAGTGCTATGAGCTTAAGTCTTGATTTTTTCAGAACAGTTCATCTTTTGACAGCTGTCAAGAGAAACTGAAAGAGAATAAAGCATTTGGAGCTTCTTCTGGGGAATGCCTGAGGTTACTACCTGCTGCACCTTAGCAGCAAACACTCCTCTCAACATTGCCCTTACCATGATTTCAAATCCCCATACTTGTGTTACTGCTGAGGGTCACAGTTGTGCAAGTGCAATTAAAAAGTTTTTTAAAAAAATAATAAAAGTGCTTTTCACTCAGGTTTGTTTGTTTTTGTTTTGCACACAATTCTATTTTTTCAATAAAGGTTCTAGCAGCCACGGGCAGTTCTTCCCTTTAAGATGCATCCCAGACACTTTAAAGGAATTGTCAGAGTCTACCAAAACTGGGATCATTGCCTCAAGAAAAAAAAAAAAGAAATGGGGGAAAATGCTGTAATGTGCCCAAAATGGCTCATGTTTACAATACAGTTGCGGGGAGACACCAGTGATAGTTACATACCTGGGCACATTGAGGATGGCTAACACTGGTAGTCACCCAGGAGCTACTCAGCAAGAGCTACAGTGGGTTTTGCCATTTTTGCCATGTGGTTCTGTGGCCAATTCCCCATACCCACAATGGGTTCATGCAGCCCAGTTTTAGAAGATACAAAAACACATTGTGGATACAATAAACAGCCCGGGTGGCTTGTTTGCCATGAATAAGCACCGTGGGAAAATCATCTAGGGTTGCATGACACAACAAATTATCAGAAGTGCCATCCACAATGGGTTGTGTTATACAAACTAAGTTAGTAACCTGTACCCCAATCAGGACTGATTTCTCTTAACAACTACTTGAAGACTTTGTAGTCACCATATAGTAGGATCCCTGCAGAACTCAATTGTATGAAAAGGTCTAACATGCAACAGAATGCACAACCTTACACTTTTACTATTAATTTGCTGCAATTTGAAAGAATATTTGCTGTTGAGTCTGTGGCACATTGAACATATTCCTTCAGCTTAGTTCTTCAGAGATAAGCATCTGAATATGCAGTAAGTGAAGGGGCCTTTCTAAAGGCAGAAACCACATGTTGGAGTACTATAGCATTTAAAAAACTTTCTCTAAAACTAAGCAATCTGACATCATACATTGGACCACTAGCTAACAACATAAACAAGAGTAGAAAAGATTCCAACAATGATATCTCAGAATTGCCAGGAATTTAAATATCATGTGATATGTTAATATTCTACTCCCTGTTCCCCAAATAACAGTCCTTTACAGAACACAGCTGGTTTGGGCTTAGGAAGAATAGTATCAAAACACTGTGCAGATTATGAGCAAACATACATGAGTGTAATAAGACATGCGGCTCTCCACCAAAAGTGACTTTTCTTCTTTTACCAATGCTTTGTTCTGAAGAGGTGGAATGAGAGGAGAAGGCTGTCTAGATATCTGGAAAGTAGAGGAAGATATATTACTCATGTTTTAAACAGCCACTCAAACTGTGCTTATACTTTAAGGAAAGGCATTTCAAAAAATATATGACATAATAGTGCTATGCAATTGGGGCCAGGCAAAATTAGCTTCTTAAAGTCCCTTACAGCTCAGTGCCTCTGAATGAAAAAACAGTGGCCCCAGTTCTGTCAACTCTTGAGCTGGTAACCTTTTGTTCTAGTAGGACAAGAGGATGAACAGAGTGAGTGAGTAGCAAGAGGTCAGGCTTACTAACGATGCATCTAAGAAGACTGCTGTCAGAATCTGAAAACCTGACATCTTCCCCTGGTGATGACTGTAAAAATCAGCATATTATTTGCAAGGACTGGAGACTGTGCTATCATGTGGCACAGCTGGGAGCTCCAAAAGGCTCTATAAAAGGCTACACTGCACTACTCAGCTGGCTACAGCAACATGGATTTACGTGACAGTCGCACTGTGTTCCTGATCCTGATGTTAGCCTTGTCTTGGACAATGGCTTCTGCCAGCTCTTGACTCTGCCCTTGTTTCTGGTCTGATCCCACTTTGCCAGGTACCTGTTCCTTACCTATGTCTTTGGTCCTGCTATGTCTTACTGGATATCTGATTCTTGCATTTCTCTGACTTTGCCTTCAACTTTGGTCCTGCCATGCTTTAACTTAATATTTGACTTCACTTGTTCCTAGTTCTGCCTTTGTTTCCAGACCTGCTGGGACTTGCTGGATATCTGACCTCAGTATTTCCTGACTCTCCCTTTGTTTCTGGTCCTGCTATGCCTTGATACTATGACTTGCATAAAAAGTGTATTTATGTTGAGGGTCCAGAACATTACCAGTCTCATAGAACCCTGCTCTTCCTCAGCTGCCTGGGAATTTATTGGAAAGAAAAAAAAATCTTGTCCGGTCTAGACATATATTGCAGTTTACAATATTTTAGTATTTAGCAGTTTTGAATTTTGATAGACAGCAGGGGATTTTCATATCAATGTTCAAAGCAAGTAAAAAAAGAATTCTAGAAATTTGATATTACCTGTGTAAATAAAGATACTTGGTGGTGGTTTAAGAAATTCCTCAAGAAGTGTTAGTCCATAGCTACTTACCTCCCTCACCAACTTTTTTAATTTAGACAGCCTAGGAGATACTTGTGTCTATTTGGAGCTTCAAAGTAGCTACTTAGGAGAACATGGGGATCTAGCCACATCCCCAAGTATGATTTTACCCATTTCTGCTCTTCTTGTGAAAGTTTTACAAACAGGTTTTTGTACTTCCAAAGAGTTGTATGGACACACTGTTTACCTTCTGTCTTACTACTGTGCTTAATATAAATTGGCAATGTCAGAACTTTATTACTCATGGCATACTGTTGTGCATGAAGCTCCGACAGAAACAGTGACTCATGAGAAGACCTTGCACTTGGCACCCAGTGCCCAAGAGTCAACCCCACAACCCAATGCAGGGACAGCTGAATCAGCTACTGCGTCTTCCCCTGAGCCCCAGCCCGTTGAGCAAACGCCTGGACCTTTATCAGAGACAGAGAGTCATGAGAAAGAGGGAGCTGCAAGTTCTACTCAGAAAGAGGCAGAGCAAACTGTCTCCTCCCCCCAAGGCTGATCTCCCTGAGCCAGAAACAGAAGACACAATAGGTGTCGTAGATTTCTCAAAAGCCGAGAACAGATGTCTTTTACGCAGATTTGAACAACTACAAAGTAGACAGCGTAAGAGGGAAGAAAGGTGTGACTTGGGAGAATGATCCCACGTGGGCTCAGAAAGAGAAGCCATTATAGGACTGACATCTGCTTAGCAAGGACCACTATTAGAGAACTTATCTATAGTATTGTAAATCTTGTAGACAATTAACATTAAAGGACTTTAGTTTTATTGCTCTATGGAGAGTGGAATGTTTATATAACGGGTCCTTGACAGTCCCCCCTCGACACATACTAAGATTTGCTACATCTGTGTTAGGAATACTGACAGCATTTCAAAATGTTTATATAAAGTCTAATGAAGAAAATAAGTGCATAGTTGAGTTCTTGTTCACACACGTCTGAAGTGTGACATGAGTACATAGCAACAAACCTTGGGGCTTGCTTTACACACTACAGCTAAATATGTATTAACTGTGCATCTAAGAACTTTGATCAATCTCCTAAGCATGTTTACTTGTATGTAGAACCACTGAAATCCTACCAAAAAAATTTCCCTCCCCCTCACAAAAAAAACCCCTTTCAGCAATAACACGCAGAGCTTGCTTTTCACTGCTTTTGCCTGAATGGTCAAGGGCAGCCTTAGGCTCTCAGTCAGAAAACCCAGAGATAGGATTGTATAAAGCATCTGAGAGAGCTGTGGAAACTATCCAAATGTTCAACCCCCTATAAACTTACAATAAGCAGTGACAGGAACAAGTTCTTTAGGTCTTGGTCTTATATGGCATGGCAAAACAAATGGGCTGAGAAACTAGAACTTGTCAGATCATATACAGTCTGGGCTAAATTTGATCTGTTTACCTTTTAGGATAGACTTTAATCTGACTCTTCAGAATAAACTTCAGACTAGTTATTTATCCGTTAATTATGCCTTTGATTTTTTACATTCCTGGTACCCATTTGAAAATTCCATTAACCATGTTTTTAGAGACTCCAAGTGGTCTCTAAAATATTTGCGATTTCCTGGTAGTACAATTCATCTTGCATTTAAGACAATCAACAGTTTTTCACAAACCTTGACTGGAAGTTACTATTACCTGTTCCTCAAAAAGACAATCTAGAGAACTCCTAGAGCCACTTTTTGGAGATATATATTGGGGGAGGGAAGCCATGCAGATGTTCTTGGGATCCAAACCAACCTAATTCAAAGAATAAGTTTAAAATTACCTTTTCTTCCATGATCATATGTTTTTGAGTTTCATAATCCTGTTTATCCTGCCTTTGTTCTTCTTCTATCCTTTTTCTTTCTGCCTCTTTTCTCCTTTCTTCGGCTAATCGATACAGTTCTTCATTTTTTAATCTTTGCTATAAAAAAATAAGTGTGATGATGCAACATTTAAAAAGTATTTGAAACTTTGATGACAATTCAACACATTTGAGGATATCTATTTCCTCTTTCATGTAAACATCAGGGCAAATGCATGATTGCAACAGTGAAGCTATTCCTTGATTATGCAGAGGCTAGGGAAACCCACCCATGTGTCCGGGGTCTGAACACATACCAGAATCTTCAGAAGAGAAAGAATCCTAAGGAGCAGGGCAGTATGTTTAGAAAGATGTCACAATTAAAATAAAAAAGTATTGCCTCTACAAAAGGGTACACGGAGATGGACATATTACATTCTTTTATCAGTTTGAGAGATGAAAGTGAAGTTGGAATGGTGGACAATAAGCAAATGCAATCAACTTAATCTCTAGATAGCTAGTTACTCTAGACGAAATTTAGAACCTAGTGTAGAATTAAGATAGCTTTTGAAAATTATAACTCTTACATATTTTAGTATTATATTGTTATGCTTAGTCTTCCCTGAAAATGTAATCTCTCATGTATGGGTCACATTGTTCTTTTTAACACAGGAGACTGTCAATTATATCACACCTCCTCCTCTTTCCTTCTCCTCTTTTCCAATTCTTCATCATATTCTCTTTGTATTCTAGCCCTCTGCTCTGCTAACCGTCTTTCTTCCCTTTCTTCTTCAAGTCTTCGTCTTTCACGCTCTTCTTCTTCTCTCTTTCTTTTTTCCTCTATCTAGAAATAAAACACACAAATATTAATCTGTTTAACAGCAATGCAAATGTTTAAGCCTTTTCACTTAATCATGTATCATCAATCTTGTCTTCTGCATCATCACCTCCATTTACTAGAAGACTAGTTGTTTCATTGCATTGATACATGAACACTTTTCCCATCACAAAATACCACAGGATACCAAGAAATGTCTTGATACCACTAATTCATCCAACATGAAGACTTGTGCACCTCATACAGGTTGCCACGTGTTTTAATAGGTTAATGCATGAAGACAAGTAGCCTCTGATTTACTTCTCTTTATTAATCATTCCATTCTGAAAGAAAGAGCCATTATATGTAATGGGATGGACTACAAGTATTAACATTTGCTGAAGAACTAATGGATTTTAAGTTATAAAAAACATTTACAGTTAACAAAACAATCCTATGAGCTCTGGCTAGTCTCCAGGGAGCCATGGGATCCTTTAGATTTTCAGAACCAGGCTCTGAACAAAGTTCAAACCTTGGAGCTGGAGATCTGCGTTCAGCCCCCCACCCCATGACTGACTCTTTCTGAGATCTTAACAGTAATCACAATGAAGGATAAAGAGGGCATTTGGACATCCAGGAGGGTGGGAGACCAGATCCACCAGGACTTCAGCCTCCGTCCCTTCCTGCCTGAAGGGCCATGGCTAGACGACCAACAGGTTATCTAGCTGACTAGCAGGATGGGAGCCTCTGTATTCCTTTCATCTTTCATAGGATGCCCATCAACCAAGCTCAGAAGCTTAAGGACATTTCCACTGGACTGCGCCCTTAGCATGATTTCCCCAGCAGCTCAAACTTCATATTGTCCATCTTTGTAAAACTAACCAGCAAATGAGATTGTGATGCAACAAAGATACACAAACATATTTTTTCAGATACAGAACATTTTATGTTGCTTCTTGTGTACGCATGGAGTTGTCTGGTTGCATACAAATATTGAAAAATAGGTTAGCTATTAGCTTAGAGACTACTAGATGAAAACGCATTTTCATATTTCTAATCATTTAATATGAACAGCATTGCTTCATAAAAGCTTTAAAAGCTATATTTATTACCAAGGTTTTCTTAGATCAGAAAGCTCTTTTACATAATTTAATGATGTTACACATACTTACCTGAAAACGAAGGAAGTTCTTGTATGATTCTTGTCGCCTAAGCTGTTCTGGTGTTGGGGCCTCACCAAAAACATTACCACGAGCATATGGGGATGTTTGTGCATATGTAAAACCTAGTAGATTTTTTAAAAAACAAAAATGTTTACAAACATTGGTAAATTTGTCCTTTCACAAGATTTCAAATTGGAGCTTAATTACTCATTGTGAATTGTTTTTGCAGTTATGTGAAGCACCTTTTAAAACCATTATAGCCTGAAAGCAAGAAAACATAAAAGCTAAAACATAGTAAGTATGCAAACACAAAATGCTTTGCTTCTTCTCACATTCAAGACTCCTGCATCTTCCTTTCTCCCTACGCATGTGCAGAGCACACACATGGAACAGGTCCCTTTGGGAATGAGAAATCAAGGAGCAATTAATATATATCCCATGAAGCCATAACTATTTGCACTGGTAGGGGTGGGGTGAGAGAAAAGGGCTGGAGATAAGAAAATATCAGTGTACACATGCAGACAGGAGGACAAGGGGAAAACAGTCTTTTAGTCTCTGAGAATTCTCTGCATTGACATGCTTAGACCTATGGTAGTTTGGATTGTGGCAAAGGTGTTTTGAGCTTCAATGAAGGCTTGCCATGCATCTGAGTATACTGAACACTTAAAAATCAATATAGCAAAGCTCTCCTAGAAAGAAATGCATCTGACAACAATGAATCCACATTTCATTTCAGAGTTTGATTTTAAATCCCCTCTTACTTGTACTTTAAAAATATATTTGAAAATTAAGAAGTAAATTTGCAGTGAAGATAAATTTATAGTGAAAATGTTAACATCAATAGAAAAATCTAAAGAAAGGTCAAACTCCAGCAATTCTAAATAATTAGCTTTCAAAATAATAAGTCCTTAAAGCCAGCAAATCTAATAGCTGGATAACAAAATGTATTTGTTCAAACTATGTATCTACAAGTTTGCTTAGCTGGAGATTCTTTCCTAAAAACAAAAACATACTTTACTGTATCAAATTTCATGTCGCTGTTTCCTGAGTTTGATAAGTATTCAAGAATTATGTTTGGTAAATGTGAATCCCATAGTTTTAACATGATTCAATATAAAAATAAAATAGCCAGAGAAATCTACAGAATTTGCATCAACATATCTGCCCACTATCAACTTTGCACTAATTCTCTTTCTGTACTTTTTCTGACACTACAATATCCTTTTCAGGAGCAGTGGCCAGAAATGTACCCAATTTCTAAGTGCAGTTGCACCATAGAGGAAATAAGATATTGGCAGTTCTATTTTCAATCCCTTTCCTAATTATGCCTGGAGTTTCCTTTTTTCACAGCAGCTGTGCACTGGGTCAACATTTTCATGGAGCTGTTAACCACAACTTCAAGATCCTTTTCTTGTTCCTTTCTCTGGATAAAGGATATGCTATATTAAGGACAGTAAGTGATTCACAGTGGATAACAGGAAGCCATAAATGCTACAAAAATATTTATTAGTGCAACTACACCATGTCTAGTGCTAGACATGTACTGGAGGATCAAAAGACGTGTCTAGAGGATCAAAAGAAAAAAATATAGGACTGCCTTCAGTAGAAAGTACAGCATAAGAAGATCATACAGTAATTTTGACTGGTGACACAACACACATTTACAACTGAAAGTATGTTACTATTTCAACCTGCTATTTTATTTGTAGATTCATCTGTATTTTCAAGTTTCGGGGAGGCCAAACTTAGGTCAACAGATATTATAGCCCTTTTATCTTCGTGTGCTTGTGCATCTGGATTATGATATGCATCTTCATTTTGCTTGTGCATCATTTTCAAGTCAGCTGAAGAAAAGGGGGAAACAGCCACTTATGATACTTTATTCCAAGAAGTATGTTTATGATGAGAGTTTCAGATTAAGAAATGTTTCTTCTGTTCAATATCTAATTGGACACATAAATCTAATACAGAGTTACATGTTTTGCAGAGTGTATGCTTTATCTAAAAGCCTACAATTGTCTTTTAATTCCTTTTTTACTTTTTTAAATACATTCAAAATAAGATATTAACATTGGGTTTTAGGCATTAAGTGGATTGCCTTATCAACTCTCAGTACTCTGTTCTGCTTGCACTGCTACAAACTATCATTTGCTTAGTTATCAGTATTAAAAAGTTACCACCAGATTTATCATGTCTATATATTTTGTTTATTTATGTGTAAACTCTATATTCAGTCGGCTATATCTAGAATGTGCCTCCCATGAACTAAAGGGCTCCTTCTGTCCATGGAAGGATTTTGCTCTTGTGCAGCACTTCTACTAATGGTATTGCCTGTCTCCAAAAAATGGAAGGAAAACAGGAAATATAGTTTTTTATACACCTTCTGACATGTTTAACAAACTACATGTGTGGGGAAGGAAGATTTATAGGTGATATTTATTTATTCATTTTATTAGAGCTACTTTGTAAGAAAAGAGAAGGTGCATTTTAGGTTGTTTCTTAGACAGAAAAAGCTATTTTGCTGAACAATTCAAAAAAATCATTGCCCCCGCCCCCATAAAACTTCTTTGAAGAGAGGTGAAAATTTGTTGCATTTAATAATTAATTTAAAAAATATATTCCACAAAATATAAATTTTAATAGGAGAGACTTTAAGATTTCATGAAAAATTTGTAATGTTCAGTTGTGACATTAGTGAAAATATGTAACAAGAGGCACAGAAATATTTCTTTGTACACCTGTTCTTATCATTACAGAATACTCTCTCACATTTTATTACTGCAATCGTTCCCTCTTGTTCCTGTCACCATCTTTTGCTGAATTTTGTCAGTTGTTTCATTTAATACTTTTTCTTACAGAAGTGAAAGTACTAGTTTGATTGCCTTAAATGACCAGAAAAAAATCTTCCATGCTATAAATTCGCTGTAGTATATCCATTTAACTCAGGGGGAGGGGGGAGGGAGTGGCTGGTTGGATCTGAGCATATATAAACAATAATAAAGATAGATAAGAGGAAGATTCCCCCAACTTTCAAACGTACTTATGAGATTTCCATTTTTATCTCTGAGAGGAGCACCTCCACCTCCTTTTCCCCAAGGATTATATTTTCTCATTTCAGCTTCTAACTTGGCTTCATACCGTTCCTTTTCCTCCTTTTCTTGCCTGCGACGTTCTTCTCTTTCCCTTATCTGTGAATAAACAAATCAGATACATGTATTATTAAAACAAGTATATTTTAAATTGGGGAAAGTTGTTTTAAGTAACTACTAAGTTTGAAGTAGGTTCAAGCACTAATTCATCATACCTTAATTCCTGTAACAGATACAGTAATTCAATTTGAAAAAACTATCTCATATTTTCTGTATTTCCGGGGGTGTATATGAGAGAGAGGATCAATAGCAATTGTATATGACCTTGCCCTAAATGAATTATTTCATGTGCAGGTTACTTGCCCCCATGGATTGGATCTAACACACTGTTTTAAACACAGCATGCATATTTTTTCAAATTTCATTTTTGATATTAATTCAGGAAGAGTCCATAAAATAACTAAGCGAATGGTCTTACATTATGCAGCACTCCAGTCAAATTCATATTGTATAATATAAGCAAAGTACACTTCTTAAATATCAAGAAAAGGTGGCATGAGGCATTTCAAAAAATGTTCAACAGCAAAAGCAATTCATTATGGGGTGATATATAACAGAAAAGAAAATGTATATTTAAGAGCGCTTCCTTTCCACATAGAAATTGCTTAAAATACAATTCAGGTTCAGAGTACAAATAACATTTCTGGGGGTAAAAAAAAAAGTCAGGTTCACACCTGCTGTTGTAATTCCTGTTGATAAGCTAAAGTAGTCTCTTTTATGGGCTTTGTTTTTTCTTCAGGAAATATTGCTAGACCTCTTGACCTATCATTTGTAATCCTTGCAGTTTTACTCCTGCATCAAAAGAGTAAAAGATAGAACACAATTTTAAACAAAACTTAAGAAGTGCCACTATCCAAATTTGTTTTAAAGCAATACTTTCCTGAATTTCACTGATAAAATCTCTCAAAATCAAAACAGAAGCCTGTTTTTATATGTACAGCTATCTTCAGAGAGCTGGCCATTTGTCCATTATTAAATTTCATACTCATATTCCCAAATAAGTAACCAAGCAATACTAGCCTAATCATCATAGCCATACTTACATAGTCACATCAGGTCTTTGAACAATATCAACAGGTGGAGGTGCAGATGAAGCCTGTGCCCCCATCATGCCTATGCCATCTAAATCAAGGAAATGTTCAACATTTTAATATAGGGTTTATGGCAAGATAAAATGTTCTGATCTGGAGTATGAACATTAGATATTGGCACATCAAGAAACCGAGCCAAGCACAAAGGTGAAACAGTAAATTCATATTGTAGCCAAAATGGAGACATTGAGAAGTACAAGCAATCTTGAAAATCAAAACAAAACAAAGTGGCCAAAAATCCACAAAGTCCCATCCCAATACAGACTCACTGTATCAAGTGTGTATATGAATATATATATGGACTGAGAGCTCTTTCACAGAGTCAATGATATACCCATATGTTTCAATATTCTGCAGCTATGTAACTTTTTCTGAAGTTGTATGATACAATATAGCATGTAAACTAAAAGTATAGCACAAAAAGTCAGCATGCTTATAAATCAAAGGTTTACTTAGTTTCTGTTTTAAAAGCTTTAGCAGAGGTCTATTACCTTTTGTATTTTATTTTTTTAAGGACACAGTAAAAGCAAAGTAGCTTCAGCAGAGAAAAATGTAGACTAAAAAGGGAGGAATTTGTTAGGCACTAACATGAGAATGTTTAAGTGCAAGCACATGCACATGCACGCACATGCCCTCAATATTGCTTTAGAGAGAGGAAGGAGGCAAGGCAGGCAGGCAGGCAGGCAGGCAGGCAGGCAGGCAGGCAACAGAAACAGATGGCACTGAGTTTCCATTACCAAAGAGCTATAGTGTTATAGCAGCTGCAGTGCTAGACTAAGCCTGGGAAGACCCAGATGCAAATCCCAATTCAGCCCTGAAGGTCACTAAGTAAAAGTCAGATTGTAATTGCGGTTCTTTGAGTGGTCATCTACACATTCACACATATGGACATTTGCAGAGCCTTGCTCTGAAAAACTTCTACAGCTAATGTCTTTTGGCATGAACTCTCCCCCACTGTCTCAATCTCCTTAGCAGTTTACTGCCTATTTACTCAGTTCCCTGAAAATGCCTAATGTGGCCTTGGAACAAAGAGAAAAATCTCAGATTCACCTTGGTGCAGTTACTTAAACTGGTACTTCCTAAACTTTGGAAGGGATTGGCATATTTTACCTCCTCCACCTTTCATAATCTCTTATCCCTATATTCTGTAGCTTCAATTAAAAAGCAAACTGTTCTAACATTAGAGCAATCTCCAAAAAGTGTATTACTTGAGAACATTTAGCAAAATGCTTACATCAACCAACCAACTTACAGTATGCAAGGCTGGGATCCAAAGGATTCCTGGCACCATAGAAGTAGTATGCATCATCATATGGAGTTCTGTAATTGTCAGCCAAAATTGGTGGTGGCAGTGGTGCTGGTGCTGGTGGTAATGTTTGGATTCTACAGCAGAATAAAAATTACATCTTTTAATTTTGTCAGCTATTTATGTAAAGGATGAGAAGAATAAAATATCCAACACTGATTGCTTTGCATAGCAATTGCAAGGTGACACAGTGCTGCAGTTCAGATGTACAAATCTTAACTCAATAAGTCAAGGTATGAGGTATACTTGATCCCTGTGCACTCCAGTCCCCTGCCTCTGCTTTCCTCCTTGGCCTGCTATTATCAACCCTAGAGATCTCCCATTAATCATAGTTGCCCTTTATACCCAAACTAGAAAACTGATTACCTTGTTTAGATATAAGAGAGCTTAAAAAGCTTCAAACAGTGATTTAAAGGTTTCCCAGGTCAGTTACAATAAACAACTATTGTTAATGAAATCTTGGGATAATCTGAAGCATGTCAAGGAAGGAGAACAGAAGTGGGGGAGAATGCACAGGCAGAAGGCTCATGTGTATCTTGGTTAATTAAGCAAGATTTGTGTGTTCAAAATACACCATAGACCTGTACACCTCACAACTACTCAAACACCATTCACCTACAAAGAGAGCATTACAGAAAGTTACCGGGGAGCTAACATTTCTCCAAGAGTAGTAGACAATCCTCTGTGAAAATATTCATTCACTGGTGAGACAGGAGGTGCAGATATGGAGGTAGGTCCAGGTGTAGGTGTCTGAAACGCTGGTCTTGGTCTTTCTGGTGGTAGTTTCTCTTCAGGTAATCGGGGTGTTAATCCCAACCCTTTTAGTCTGTCAGGCTAAGGAGAAAATTTGATTTATTATTTAGCATATGTTATTCAAATTATTTCAGATCCAAGAAACAAACAGAAAGGATAGAACATGATGAAGGTTCCCTATGGTTTTGTATGACAGAGGCATCTAACAGTGGGTTATCTACTCACAGCACCCAAGCAGACAGGGATCATGTGACCTTTACTAAGCCCCATACTGCAAGAGTCCTCCCCAGTACTGCCGTGTCTGAAATGAAGACCAAAACACCCCAAGGATTCTATGAGGTAGAATAAAATATAAAAAGATGAAATCACATGCCCCTAACTAGGACTAGCACTAGTTGGAACACAGACAAGTTACCCACAGAGAATAAGGCCATAAACAGTATCTACTCAGCCACTTGATTGACTGAGGTACAGTTTGGATGCCTTCATTATACCAACCAAGGAGAAACCTTCACAGAAGAACGTTACATCATCCATTTGCTGTGAGGAGGCATTTAACAGTGGTATGTCCACAAGCTAACACTGTATCTAGAGAAAGCTGAAAGGTATCCGAATTGATTTCAAAATATGTTCATATAGTAACACCTTTCTCCCAAATGATGTCTGTGCAAAAGAGAAAGTGTCCAAGTCTGTAGTATTCAATTGAAATGTTTGGAATGGCCTACATGACACACATTTCTGTGAAGGATGCATTGGTAGAAAGTCTGAAGACATGGCTGTTCTCTAACAGGAACAAGCTGTGATATGGAGGAATATAGACTCATAATTTTATAGCTCTCATATTTTGGCAATAGTTGCTGTAAGCCATGTGGCTACTGTGGCACATGAGGACTCTCACTGCCAAGGAAGTGAGAAAGAAAAGACATTAAGAAGATTTCAGTCCATTTGAAGGCTTTTATTTGATTTGTTTAACAGGCTCTACATGATCCATGTCTGCTGAACTTTGCCTGGACAGAAGGAAGGTAAAATATGAAATTCCATAAATTATACAGGACACAATATAAGCCTCATCTGGAAGCACCCCAAGATTTGATTTTTTCCCCCCTTTTTTCCTGCAAAATGGAGGAAGAGTCTGAGGACAGTTTCTCTATACTGCTCCACTTATGAGAGAGTTCATATTATATTAAAGCAGCTGGTCAATCTGATCACTGATAACAATCTGCTTTATAAGCGGTGTATGCGTGCGTTTGTTGAGATATTGACCCTGGGGAATAAAGGAGAAAAAAATGCGTGCCAAGTGGACTAGTGATAGGGCAGGAACTCTGCCTATTTATTCGAGGGGAAGGGGGTGTGGAGTTCCTGCCAAAAATATTACTAAGCTGAGAGAATTTTCCTGAATGCTGGCACAGCTCCCATATGTGTGATGCACAGAGACCACAATGAAGAAAGGAGAAAAAACATGGGTGCTACACTTTTGGGAGGAAAGTAAGCCCAAGAGATCAAATTTTGATTGCCAGAGACCTGAGAACTTCCCATTCAATTAATGGGGTTTCTCTCTTTATTTCAGCAGTTTGCCGAAGGCTGGAGTTGCTTTTTTGGCTTGTACTGCCATCTAATGGATACAGTCAAAAAGCTTCCCTTCACTGTCTTCAAGATAGGGTACAATGCTTTGCCAGGAATCAAGTCACAAACAACCCTGACAATTGTTTAAAAAGGTATTTAAAATGCAGAAATATACACAAATTCAATGGGTGGAAAATGAATGTACCGGAATTCTTCTAAATTTAAGGACTAGGAAGTAAATGGAAAGGAAATGTGCATAGGTGCAATAACTGCTCTATTACTGCAGGGGTACAAATTTCCTCTCTTAAATTTACATATATTTGTGTGGGTTCTTTTTTAACTATCAGTGGACCACAATAACTATAGTGGTAAATGCTCCAAAATGGAATTGTGAAAAGGTCAAGGGAGCCAATATCTTCCCTTTCTAGAGTAGCTGGAGATTAATGAGCGTGCTGAGAACTGACAGTTCCACAGTTAAAAATGATAAGATCTCAATGCCAAGGGAAGATATTGCTCCTCCCATTTTGCTTCTTTTGCCCTCTTTTCCATGCTTTTCAAATGACAGCTAAGCAATTTGTCTCAGCAACTGTGTCCAAAGTTACCTACATACAGTCTCACAATATCTATTTTCATGAATGTCACCTTTTCTATTTTTCATCCACCTTTGACTGCTGAAATATACAAGGAAGCTGACCAGGCAAGGCTACACATATTGGACAGCAGTAAGAATGCATTAGCAAAAGATCAACACACAACAATTAGACTTGAGTAACTTTCTGGGGCGCCCCCCCCCCCCCCCCCGGCATTTGTTTATTTTTTTGGCTGTGAAGTTTTCAAGAGTAACAAATGACAAAAGACCATGACTGGAGGATAAGTTTTAGATTCTGCTGCAAAGACACTGAGATACTGGCTGGAGGACCAAGACAGAAAGAGGGAGAGAACAAGCGAATCATCTGTCAGGTATATCATAGGTAGATCCATAAACCACCCACACTACATATGTTATTTGTAGCTTGGCTTAGCATGTCACACAAGCCCAACCACAAACTGCTTTACTATGTCTAAAAAGGCACCTCAGATCAGTTTGTGTGTGAAGACTTAAGGAAAATAGATACATTTAATGATAGAAAGAGATTACAGATGGAAAGAGTAAAGCTGAAACTCTGTCATGGACAAAGGCAGGAAAAGAACTGGAAAAAGAGTCTTGTAGACACAGGTTACACGATCCTTCTCTTCTTGGACTATAGGGGGCGAGAACCTAATACTAGATGCCTTTTCCACATCAAACAGAGACTACTACTTTTAAATAGCAGAGCACACCTTTAAAAATATATTTTAAACATCAACACACTGATTTTCTACAAAATAACCTCAATGCCAAATGTGCAGTTCAACATGCTAGTAATCAAGATAATTATGTCAACACTATTGTGTCAGCATTCTTGTTAATCTTAGAAAATTTAGGAAGAATTAATTTCAAACAACAACATTCTATAGTAATTATTGTGAAGAAGAATATTGAAACCTGTCAAATAAACATTTCTAAATCATTAGAAATTAAGATATGTTATATTAATGTTAAGCATTGAGTTCATATTAAGGCTATTTAAATATTTCTGGGGAAAAAACCATAATATGCCCTAGCGATCCAGTAAATAAAAATGTTTATTGACAGTTGAAAAAGTCTAAGAGAGTTGGTACCATGCACTTTATCAAAAAAAGCATGCAGGTTTCAAAACTATCCTACTATCTCATAGATTCCCTGGAAAAATCTATGTATGTTGGCTTTTAAAAAAATTGATGCCAACATTAATACAATGTGAATAGCCTCCATGATTTTTGTAAAGACAAATTAGCTTTCTGCATTTATATATCATTTCTTATTCACTGTGTTGATAGCCAGAAAAGTGTTGATAGCTCTGGAACCCTACATGCCTAAATGGGTATTATATACCTATCTTGACAGAATACTTTCTGATAAAACAGCAGTAAGTTGAGATGTTTTACCTTTTCTTCACTTAGCTGCAAGACAGTATACACAATACAGTTAGTATTTACAACTACATAACTCATATTCAGGAACACAAAGAAACGTGCATCACACTCATTTTCTATTTCATCTTTAAAAGTTAAATGGTTATAGTCACTAAAATTAGAATTGTTGTTTAACCAGTATGACCAGAAACATACCTCAGGTAGGATCCAGAGATGATCCTTAGCTCTAGTAGTTGCTTTCCTTTTAATAATTTTGGCTACAATCCTATTTACACTTACCTGAAAGTAAGCCCCATTAAACTCAGTGGAAGTTTTGTATATGTACCTATAGCCAGGTAAGACTGTACTGTATATGCAAGAGCTTTCAAAACTACTTTTTGGACTTGACATTGTTTGATAAGGGGTGATCACCATCCATAAAAGCTAGAAAATTGATCCGTATGTGAATAAAACTCCTTTGGATCCTTGTCATCAAATGTATAATTATTCTGAATCAGACCTGGTCTTCTTGCATGCTAAGTTCTACTGAGAAACAGCTCAGCAAATATCCTGTATACTAAACTAGGGTACCTCTCAGCATCATAAAGAGGCACTGCTATCTGTTCTTAGTTTATTTATTTATTTAGTGGACTTATATGCTGCCCCATTTGCCTAAGCCTCTTTAAAAGCTCTTTAAAAGTTCTTTAAAAGCCAAGACAGTGTAGTTATATAAGAGAAAGGCATAACAAACAGTACAAGGATTTAAATTATGGAAAGTACTATCAGTTTTCAATCATATAATATAGTGTGGATACATAAGCCAAGCCCATATTTCATTTTCTCTTACCAAGGTATCAGCTGCACCGATCCATTGGACCGCCTTTCTAGTCTATTTTTGACACTGCCTGTTCCACTGAGTGCCCCACCACAACAAATTGCTCAAAGCAACAATAATCCATTCTAGGTACAATTCAGGGAACAAATGCCTTTATCTCATGCAGAAAGTATGACTTGGCAATACAGAGCCTTTGTACACACTTTTCTTTGGAGGAAGGCTATCCTGACCCTCATCTCACTATTAGCATCAGCCCAATGAACCAATGCCATGGAAGACAAGGAGGGCTTTCCTGTGATAGTGATATAATGCAGCACCATCCAATAAATGCCCATGTCATATGTACCCCATCTTCCCCACAGAAGTGAACATGCAACAACCATACTTATGGGCTATTAAAACTTCTGTTTCCCAGCTGCTACACTTAGCATACCAGTTGCTGAGGAACAGCATCTTAAGGGAAACAGGCATTTTAGGGACCAAAAGCTTCCATATAGCCTACAGTACCTGATCCTGCCTAATCTTAGAAGCTAAGCAAGGCTGGACCAGGTTGAAATCTGGATGATTTAAATGTTGTGAACTGCCCAAACAGCTTCAGCTAGCAGCAGTATACAAATGTAATGCAATAATAATAATAATAATTACACCTGCAACATCAACCCCAGGAAAACCGCATACCCAGGAAAACTCCAATACCCCATACACTGAAGCATGGAACCAAATTGTTAGAATTATCTGTGCTGAATTGTTTTGACCAAGCCCTTTGTTGTTAAGCATAGACTACAGTGATCACCTTCTCAATATACAGTGTGAAATACCAAGGACCTGAACTCTCCTTACTCATACATCTCCTCCTTTTACTCCAATCAAATGTTAACCAAATAACAAGGATTTCATTGTATGTTGAAGCCTAGGAAAGAGACTTGAGTACAAGTCATTAAATTCCATGTTTTCAATATTGTATAGAAAATTTGCGATACTGTTCCACACAGAAAATGAAACTACTTCAGGGCTCTAGCATTTATATCCACAGGTTGATATTGGGTGCTCTGCCCTTTAACAGAAATGGTTCTCAGCATCCACAGTTTCCAGCTGCTGTACAGTAAGGCATTTTTGTTTTGATTTTTAGATGTCCACAATATCCACAAATATAAAAAGCAAGCAGCTAACCACAGTTTAAAGATGAATAACGCTTCCTTTCCACACAGTTGTAAACAGGATCTGAGTATCAAAAATTATCCATAGTCCCCAGAGACAGCTATAGTCTCCAAAGATACACCACCTCCAAGCTATCAAAAACACATTATTTGGCACTAGGATACTAACCCTAGCTAGTTCCAACAATCACAGTTTAAAGAAATCTCCATGGAAGTATTGAAATGATTGAGAACTACCGTTATTTTAGAAGTAAGGAGCAAAAAAGCTTGTCAACATCTCATAGCCACATAAAAGGGAAAAGCACATGAGACTAAGGCTTACCCAGTCTCATGTATGCAGAAGGAAGCCATGGCTTCCCATTATTTCTGAACCACTTCAGTGTGTCAATGGGCTCATGCAGATTCTGTCATAATTTCCAAAAATAGTTGGTTAAAGCTACTATGTACAAATAATTATTACTATAGGACCTTCCCAATGAATGGGATAATGACTCTGGGCTAGTTCTCCTACTACAGCAGAATAACAGTTTAGACAGTAGAAAAAGGAACAGAGGAACAGCTGCTGTTAAAGAGCCTATTTGGGATTTGAAGATACAAAGGATAAACAAAACAAGTACACTGAGAGGCACTGGCTGAAAGGTTATATATGCAGTCCACAGTAAATGGGGTTCTACAAACCCACCCCATCTTTCTGAGGTATAAGCCTAAGCTTACTAATCTACAGACATATAAATATGAGAAAATAATCAGTCCCGTCCTTTAGAGTTCAGTAGCTACATTATTCTGTCAAATTATAGAAAGTGCTCCTACACCACAACTTTTCTTCATTCCCAAATAAATGGTATTGGAACAGAGAAATAGAAGACCAAGTACCCTATTGCACATTAAAATAATCTTCAACACTGCGACTAGAGATGGAGATAAATAACAAGTCACGGCAAAAACACTACTATATTTCCCTATAGGAATAGACAGCAATACGTGCAGGCATTATTATGCCTCTTTAAAATTTATCAGAAACATTTTAACTCAGCTGCCAAGGTTTAAAAAACCCTGCATAGCTGTATATCACACTAGCATGTTAATTCACCTTTGCTAAGCTGGAAAAGTGTGGGCCTGCAGCTGGATAGGTGACCACATGTGGAAGGAGAGCAGAGTACTACACTCCATGATCTTACAGACCCCTTCCAACTCTACAACTGTTCTGTTCTATTCTAAATGCTAAAAGTCACTCACCTTTTTCTCAGGGTCTAAAGCTCCAGATGCAGCAACTGGGAGCTCAAGCTCCTTTTCACTGTTAGAGAGAATATGTACACAATTAGCCAAGATCACTTCCTTTCTCTAAAGAATACAGGTAATACACAGAATTATTTCATTTTATCCTCGCAATGATCCTGCCATTTGTTAACCTGAGAAACAATTTTTTACAGAAGGCTATTGAGTAAGTTTTATACCTGAGCAGGAATCTGAAATCAGGATTTCACATGTCCAAAGTGAACACTATTCTAGCATGGGTGAACATGCAGCCCATCAGAGTTGTTGCAGTTCATCTCTCATCATCCCTATGGCAAATAATCAAGGATGCTACAGTTGTAGTCCATTGAAATCTGGGGTGGGGAGAGCACAGGTTTCCATCCCTTACTATAACCAAAATACTAAATCTCTCAGGTTCTCTCACATAGAGAAGAGTACTTAAAATTACTAACCTATGTTTAAATTTAATAGTACTTTCAAAACAGTAGGAACTTGCTTTATATGATATTGCAAGCAGTACATCTGTACTAGACTTTCTCATGTGTATTTCACCCTGGTTCCATGCTTTGCCTTGACATTTCCAACAGGCTTGTTCTCACAACTAGCAGCCTGGATGGAGGGAAATGACAGGGGATGGGGGGGCCATTCCACCAGTCCCACTGGCAGACTAAACACTATTCATTTTTCCTCTTTCCTCATCATCTTTTTTCTTGTGTATTGTGTCCTTTTAGACTGTAAGCCTTTGAGCAGAGCTTCTTACTTTATTGACTGCACGTTAGCCACTCTGGGAGGCTTTCTGGTTATGAGGCAGAATACCTTAAATAATTAAATCCAAATGTAAAGCTCCCATCAAACCTTGGTTTCAAGCTAATCATCTATTAGCACAAATGCTACATAATAGTTACACCAAAGCATGGGTAGGAGACCAGATTTGCAAAAAACAGAAAATGGGCTGGGGAGGCATCACATTCCACAACTGATACAACTGTGTCAGGTTATTAAAACAGAGCCTGAAAATTACATCCTATTATCATTTGTAGCCAAAAATATTAACACAATGTCTATTACAAGTCTGTACAAATTCAACATAATTTCCTTAATCTTGTGCAATTTTAAGTAATAGTTGTCATATAAATCCAAATGTATATATAACATCCAAAACATTAAGCAGTTAATTGCCAAGCTCCATTGCTTTGAAAAAAGAACCACTACTAGATACCAAGCCATCACTTATACTTTGCCAAAATAAGTCCCTCTTGCTTTCACCTCTATGCAAATTTTTTGCACCCCTTTGTCTCAGACCTTACCAGAAATCAAATACATAAAAGAAAAAATAGTAGTTACAGCTACAGACAAAACACACTAAAGAGATCTAGCGATGTTGGTCCAATGAGTTTCCTCAGGGATGCTGAAGGCCTAATTTTTTAAAAAAATCATGGTAGACTCCAGTCACATGCTGCTTTTGTAAGTTCAAAAGAAATTAGTCATGCCACAGACACCACTATTTAAGAAATAATTATCTACTAGGCATGCGTAGACCTACTTATGTACAAGCTGTTCCAATTAAAATGTAAGCAAGACTATTCCATATTCTTGGTTGTAAAGAGATTTCCCCTTCATATGTCTCAAAAAGATCTCATTACTAATCAATTACCAATTGAAAATTATTATTTAACCAATAGCCTTCTGTTACCGTCTCTTATTTCTCTGTTGCTCAGCAATTTGCTCCATTAAGTCTTGTCGATATTGTTCTTTTCTTCTCTGAAGAAGTTCTCTATCTTGACCTCCTAAAAATGGAAATATAAATAATCACAACCTGATCTTCTAGCAACTTACATTTTCAGCAAAAGTTATGCATTGTATCCATGCATAATTTCACTTGTATAATTTCACCACTACTACTAAAAAATAGCACTACATTCAAGCTTAACAAGACAACATAAAGGAGATCCAGTTAAAAATTTTCCATATCTCATCTAGTTGGCCCTTGAATTGTATTTTTTTCCTTAAGCAAGAAGTTCCATTGTGCTAGAACACTAAAGTTTTTCTTCAGCTTTATGTGAAACATGTTGCACTGTTTTGGGGACAAGAAGAAGTGCTTCTTCTAAGATAACAATGCAGTTTTTAAAAAATCTTTACCTCTTCCAATTATTTCACTAAAAGTCATATAAAAGGTACTGTGTATTAAAGATATTACAAAACACAATGTTTCCAGTTGCTCAGTTTTTCTATACATACCAAGTATTAGTCCTGTTGCATATGAAACACTACCAGCACCAGACTGTGCGTGCTCATTAGTAGGATTTCTGTAATAGAAGTGAATAAGTCAATGAAAACAAAGATCATACTGAATTTACTACACAACTCCTTTTCAACTTTTCAAATATTAGGTGAGCAAGGAAATGTAATCTGCACCAAAACGCTTGTCTTATGTATCCTACAGGTTGCTTTTTGAATCTAAACTCTCAGGTTGAACTTAAAAGAAAAGTCGTATTTGCTGACAACAGTTTATGGTATCATCCTAAGGAAAAACAATCCCCAACCATGCTATAGAGCAGAAATGGGGAATTGTTCTATCCCATGGGGATCTGGATTGCCTCTTAAAACAATTCTGTGTACTCCAGAACCTTTGGATTCCTTTCTCCATGCAGAGTGAAGCACACAGTGATTATTCTGTGTATCTTTCTGCATGAAGACAGACCCTGTCTTTCCCTGATCAGTGTGAGAGAAAGGCTGTCTCTTGTATAGAGCACTGGGCAGGGTCTAAGAGAAAAACAGATAGATTGCACATAGAACTCATATGGGCTGGATGCAACCTGCATGCCAAGAATCTTCTGCACTCCTGTCAAAGTATTCTTAAACAGGAAAGGATATACAATAAACAGAAGCCTCTTTCTAATGTTCCTATTTTTGTTAAAAAAAATGTATCAAGCCTGCAAATATATTTTCATTATGAAATGAAGGAAATTTAATCATGTTAAATGTCCTTGTAATTGCTATAATAAACTATACTAAATTATAATTTTAGTGAAAATTATGGCCTCTACATAATTCCTACATAATTCCATCTGTGTTTTCAAAAACAGCATATATTTGGCAATGCAAGTTCTTACCCAGTGAAGGATATTCATTTTTATCTTGTGTGATTGAATATGCTACATAAAGAAAACTGAAAAGTTACTGCAAAATCCAATGTGTTTGAAATTGCCAAAGGGAACTTTCAATACCTGCTTGCTAAACATACTGGGACTGAGGGGGTGTTTGGGACCAAAGTTCTTTTCATCCTTTCTATACAGTTTGTGTTCCTATTGAGACGGCCTGTCATTCTGATTGGATGGGCCATAGCAGTCTCAAATTTTAAAAAATTTAGAAAAGTCAGGAACTTTTCTGACTGAGAGTAAGTTTTACAAGTTTATAGACTCAAGGATTGATAAACAGATATATATTCAACTGTATGTACAATCTTCTCTATACCTTCAAAGTTCCTATGCCATGAAGGAAATATGGAGTTAGTAAAGTATAACACAATGTTCTTTTCTGAATGCAGAATTATATTCGATAATTGAGATGCATTAATGTAGCAGCAGTGCAACATATTTTAGTACCAGCCTTAAACAGCAAATGAACTAGAGAGCATAATGCTGGTGGGCAGCTTTTAAACTAACAAAACAAAACAAAACAAAACAAAACAAAGGTGTCCCAACATCATCTGGGGGGATTCAGCATTCTTTGGAGTCCATGCACCAAGGTCCTTCAATTTCGATTCTGGGATTCTGAAGGCTAAGTCCTCATCCCTTCCTAGCCAGCATGGAAGAATTGAGCCAGCTGCCTCTCTGAAAACACAAGTGTCCATTGGTGATGAGGGAAAGGGACATGCTGGAGAGTAGGCAGTACAGGGGGTGGGGCTGTTTCCTTATATCAGGTCTTATCAGTGTCCCAACCTCCTTCATTCACCCTCTGTAGCACTTTATCTAGATAAAATTGCAAGAATGTGGCATGACAGATGGAATCACTACAGCTGTGCCTCACTCCAGCCTTTGGTTGTACATAAGTCTCCAAGGTAGAAGGGTGACATGCACTACAGGAAAGGAGTGACAGGACTGCCCCATAAGTATACCTTTGCACTGGACTGTAGATGGCTGTTACAATTTGCCATCCATTTTGTCACAGTAAAGCAAGGTGCACAATCTTTTTGGTCTTGAGGGCCAAAACTGGTGTTGCCATGGGGCTTGAAGTGCTGAATATAAAGGTCAAACTGCACATGATATAAATTAATCAATAGCAACTACTTCTTTTTTAAAAAAGTAATACCAGGGACAACTTTCCTAATGCCCATAGGAGCTTTCCTTCTGGGTTTATAGCTGCTGAAAGGGATAGCAGAAAGGCTTAAACCTTCTCTCCAAGAGAGCCATGTTCTCACACAAAACTGTGCCCCATATACCTTTCTTTTATAATGTTCATGTAAAAGTTCTTATGGTCAGATGTGGTTACTAAACACGTTTATTGTCCTGTCTAAGGCTGACACCCAAAAAACTGGGCTTGGAGCAGTACTGCATAGAACTCTGTGAAATGAAACACCAGAGACTGACAACAGAACTAATCAAGTTTAAAGTTAACAATAAAGAAGTCTACATTACCTTTGAGTATGAAAGACTCGAAGTGGCTTCTTATCATAATCACTTTCATATCGAAACCTGGGATCCATTTCATCATTTATTTCAGGATCATTACCCTCATCAAACCTAGCATGCCTTCTCCTGGAGGTATCAGGTTTATCATCTGGCCTTTGGTGCTTTCTATTAGAAATGTTCAATCTTTCAGCTAGTTTTTCATGCAGTAAGCTGTCCCCACATCCAATTTCATTATTTGGTTTGTAATGCTGGTCTACTAGTTGTCTCATATTTGAGACTCCTTCATATGTCTCTGTGGATGTACAGGCATCTTTTCTGAAAGATTCTTCATCTCTTCTTGCTGGTATATTTGGAGTATGTAGTTCTGACTGAATGCCAGTAGCAACAAAGACTTTTTGGTGCTTATCTTTGTCATGCTATTAATACAAAGACAAATTACTTTCAATTTACTCATTTCAATTTTAATTAGATATTTTCTCTATTAACATAAAAAGCCAGACTACATAACAATAAGTGCATTTTGAGAGCACAAAGGAAAGAGCCTTAGTGATGATACTCCAACTTTCAAATGACCACCAAAAGATGTCACTAGTGTCAATGTTGTACTAATTGGAGCACTGAGTTAAGATGCTTCTATCTGCTCAGGCATTTTAAACCATTAGTAGTATAATCTGACTGTGTGGTCATTTAGATGATTGCCGAACTTTTTAATGTTTCTGTTTCAATGCTGTTCTTATTATGTTCTTAATATGTAATTTATATTTATTTCTTGCCCTGGAACCCACTTCTTGGAAGTGTAGAAATCCTAAAAACAAATAAATGGAAGAAAAGCAAGGTGAAACAATGGAAAGCATCTTAACTGACACTGGGTATTTTATTTTCCCATTGTATGAAAATAAAATGAGAGAAGGAAAAAGAAAAAACAGCGTTAAAGGAGACATCACTCATAACTTCATCTAGATAAAAATCCCAAAGTAAAAACCATATTCAGTTTACATTTTATCACAATATAATTATTCCTCACCTCAAAATGACCCTCTGCACAGAAATCTGTATTTACAGTCTAAATAATGCATTTCAACATACAACAAAGTAGAGCTGAGAATCATCCTCCAATACACCTTTTGATAATCTAAAGAGCTAATCATAAACATTGTCCCATTGCTTCAGATATAATTGAATAAAATATGTGGTTTACCTCTGCGTGTTTCTTTCCTATTCTTCTTAACCTTTCATTCCATTCTTCCTTTTCCCTGAGATATTGATTGTACTCCTTGTTTCTTTCAAGTCTTAATCTGTCCTAGAACAAAAATTGGAAAATATATTGGATCTACAAGTTTCTTTATAGCACAAACACACAAAGATTTATATACCATTTATGAAGCATTAATAGTAACAGCTAGTTGAAGGTAAGCCTTTAAGCAAACTTACACAACTGTCAGAGTTTAGTACATTATGTCTGCCCTATCTGAGTAAAGCCATGCCCACTGGCACTCTCTGGAACATCCTCAACAATGTTGTACCCCTAAAATTCCCCTGAGTAGGGGAGCAGGGCAGACCTATAGCTCTGCCCCTTAGCCTACTAATCTCCCCTGGTTTCAAACACTACAAAACTTGGCGTTGGTTAGGGATATCTGCACCTATGGGCTAAAGATTTTAAAGATGTTACCTAAGGCTTCAACCAAATGTACACATTTAAATTAATTATTTTAATGGATTTTACAAACAACATAGCCCTGAGGTGTACATCCCTATGGTTCCCTTAGTATACATATTGTTTCAGATATCCATGCTTTATGATCTTGTCTCTAAGATCACAGACACACATCCTCTTGTTATATACACACACAAAATTCTTGCTTAAATCAAAACTGTACTTTCATTACTATTTCAATTTCACATATGCCACATTAGTATTTTTGTTGCTATAAAATACCCATGGAAGCCTTTGCAACAAATTTAAGCAAAACAAAAACTTCAGATTTTTCTTTATAACTTAACATACCAAAAGATCAATTATGCTGCAAAAATGCACCTGAGTCAAAGAGATCATTCAACTAAACTAGAAAAACATGATTTGGCATTTATGTTTGAGGGTGATAGTTTTAATAAATAATCGTTAACTTGTTTAGTAGTGAAGATAAAAAGTACATTGAGAAACATTGTTCCTCAAAAGTTACTATAAGATAATTTTCATGTAATTGGTAGCTGCAAGCAGGAACAATACAGCCTGGGGATGGGGAAGTAAAGGATTTTAAGAATACAAATAGGAAAGGGTGTGAAGTCAAATCTAACTCCTTGCAACATGGTACCCTCCAAATGTTTTTGGCAACAAAAAGTATTGTCAACCAGCTTTTGTGATCTCCAGAAAAGTAATGTTTAAAGAAAAAACATTGTGATATTCTGGGGGTACTTGCGGGATGACCAAGGGTAAAGAATGGAGAAGGAGGGGGTCAACAACCAACAGTGAGGCAAATCATCTGTTATGACAACCAATCCACCATGGCTTTTTGCCAGAGTAAATTAGCATGCTGGGCAAAACTTGCCCTGGGTCAACCTCTGAAACATCAAGTTCTTTGTTTTCTTTATTGCCAACCCTATAAACAACCTCAGAATTTGGGGTATTTGATATTCTTTCTGCCTGGGCATTCTTCATATCTGCTTGCATATCTGGGTTATTCTGAATATCTGCTATATGTTTTATTGAGGTATTACTTCATTGTTCTTATTTTGTAAACCATCTTGTTACCTTTTTTCTTTAATAAAGTTAGTGACACACTATCCTTCAAGAAAGGAAAAAAAGAAGGCATGTCAAGAGGTATGAAACAATAAGTCAAATATAGATTATAGGACAAATCAGAAGGTCCAGGATGTCTTTCAAAAGAGATATGATTTCTCTATAAAATAAAGCTCCAAGCTATGCAGGCTGAGCCAGGGAGAGGGGAGTTGTCACTTCTGAACTGGATTAAAAGTTACATGCCAGTTGCTTTGAGTAGTTGTAGAAAAACCAGTTAGATACAACCACAGACAGACAGACACACAGGCAGACACACACTGTGGTGTAAGACGCAACAGCTATCCTTCATACTGTTCTAACCGTACATGTATACCTACCTAGTGAATAAATATGGGACTGTATTTTCTGGTTAAATTATATCACACAGGTGGCCAGACTTGCTCAACAGAGGAGTCATATATGATAAATGTCAGATGTTTGAGAGCAGCAAGTGGATACCCACAGGCAGTGACCAATGCCTGTGCCTACAAGCCACAGAATAAACTCAAAGAGCTGCATGCAGCTCCCAAGCCTTGGTTTGGTCACCCTTGTTATATCATATTAAAGCTTTGGTCTTCAGAGTCCTGGAAATTCTACATGTTACTTAGGGAAAAAAATCATTTTTGTGCACCTACCTTAGCAGACCTTCTGTCACCAATAGGAAGAGACAACCCCTGAGTATATGGATCAACTTCACCAGAAGTAAGATATTTTTTCTACACAAAATAAAAGCAGTGACTCAGCAGTGAACTAGATCATGCCCCTTATATGAAGTGATATAATTCTAATTAAATCATATAAAATATATTTCTTAAATTTCTTTATAATACTAATTAACACAGTACTTTTTGCCAACAGAGTACAGCTTATTGTGAGAGCAGTAACCTGTGACTGGGTTCACATGAATCAACAACACATAATAGTCAGTCAACCATAGATGGTTTAATTGTCTGAGGCCAGAGTAGTTTTCACAGGGTCAGGCATGCCTTTTTGTAGGGTTTTTCTTACCCATGATTGGTTATTATGACAACTGAACCTGGGATCCTGATTTTCTTGTGGATTGTGGCAACCAGCTACAGAGCTCTCATTTATTTAAAATGAAAAATGGTTGCTCAAAACTGTGTAACTGAAGTTGCATATTTAAAAATGTCTTTTACAAGTGTCTACTTATGGCTGCCCTCTATGTACAGTCAATTTCCAATTTCAACTGTTAAAGGGAGCTGCAGAATCAAGTAAGGTACACAGAAATTGACACGGCAAATTTGCTATGAATTAATTCACATAATTGCAAAGAACCAAGGGAGAAACAACAGTGGAAGAAAAGAAGGGCCTGGCAGCACATTCACAAGCAAAGAAAATGGGGTGGGGGGAAGCCAAAGAAGTTCATGCACCAAAAAGGGGAAGAGGAATCCACCTCTTAGTTTTAAGTGTCAAACTATACTTCTCGGTGCTCCCCACTTTTTCAACACTTCCCCAATACTCCAACTACTCAGGAAAAGGGAGATATTGGTGCTCCCAACCCTTTGCGCAACTCCTTTTCAGAGCACTCACTGCTGCGATTACTATAGTACTCTGGGAATTCTAAAAGGAAAAAAATCAGAAATGCATACAAATGAAATGTCTAGGAAGTAAATTATGGTGATTTTTGTTTCAGTTTAAGAGGTTGGAAATAAAAGGAAAAATCTTTGCACCGCCTGCAGTAATGAATTCTTCTTAGCCCTTAAATTTGTACAACTATCACCTCCCTTTACTTTCCAGCCATTAAATTGGGATACATTTCTCTTCCATCTCTTCCCAGTCCAAAAATGTGCTAATAAAGAACTGAAAAGGGGACAGGGAGTTAGTATCTTTCCTTTCTGAAAGAGATGAAGAATTGGTGAAGTGTTGAAAACATGGGGGACATTGAGAAGTGTCAGTTCAACATTTAAAAGCCACAGGATCACATTGCCAAGAAGAAGATACTGCTCTGTCCATACTGGTGCAGACACTCCCTTGGCTTTCCCTCCTCCCCATTTTAAGTGCTTCTAAACTATTCTATCAGTTCCCTTCTTTCTCTGTTACTTCTCTCTCTGGTCCTTTGCACAAATTAATCTGTGCCAAGTACACAAATTACTCTATTTGCAGTTTCTTGTCAGTTTACTTATATGCTACCTACTCCCCTTTGCCCTTTCCTTTGACAGCTGAAACAGTCAAGAAAATAGACCAGGCCAGACTACACATATTGGAAAGTTATAAGTGCTCATTTAGGCATTTATGAAAGACTGACAAAAATAATTTTAAAAATTACAACCACAACTGTGCATTTTTGAGACACTTTTTTTTTCTTTTTTAAACAGGAGAATGAAAAGGTATAGGGACTCAAGCAAACGTATTTGTTCATTTTTAAGGCACTAAAAATGGCATGGAATAAAGAGGGGTAGCAGCAGTTTTTGCTGCAGAGACCCCAGGGATATACACTGGAAATGGACAGAGGAGGAAAAGAACATGCCATGGAAGCCCAATCATCTGTCATGTGAACAACCAACTTATCTTGGCTTAGTCAAAGGATGGCTTAGTGTATGACGTGACATCCAAGCCATTGCATTAGTACAGCATTATTGAAATGCCAAAAGCAACTTGAGCCATAACATAATTTGCATTTAGTGTGAATTAGCTTTTGAACTACACAATTTATTTTAATCTAAAGTAGATATTTAAAAAGTCAAAACACAATTACTTTATTGCAAAAAAAGTATTAGAGATTAGCAACAGAAAACATGAGGTTTTGTTTAAAAAATTCTATACCTGGAAGTTGCAAACAGAAAACACTATACTTTAGCTGCACAATTTATACCTCAACTATTTTAACAATAAAACACAACTTAATAAACAGGGACACTAATAAGGTGAATACCATGCAGCCTAATTCTATGCATGCTTGCTCAGAAATGTCCCATTATGTTTTATAAGATTTATATTCTTCAAATTGTACATAGGGATTGCACATTTATTTAGTTTATGTAAGTGGGCACAACCAATTGAATTGCCTTCGAGCCATTGAAAACAGATAATCACTCACCCACCAAATAAACCCTAACCCAAAGTGTAACAAAGTATAATTTACTGAAAGCATTATGAAAATAATCATTGAATCAACCTAAACTGATCGACATCAGCATGCATTATAAGCAAACATTCATTGTATAAAAGCTAATGCAGAAAATCAATTTAGCTGTGAAATTAAATACAGAGAAGACAATCAGTGTGGTAAGATGATGTTAATGGAAAATAATGCATAGTTTATCTTGTGGTGAGCAAGTAGCAAGTTGCAAGACAACCACAGAACACAGCAAAGCACAAAGGCATTATTTTTCCCCAAACCTTTCATTAGCACATTGGAACCAAGCAAAATGTTATATCAATTTGAAGATTAGCATGTTGCAAGCACCCTACCTTCTTTTTTGCCTGTGAGATACCCTAAAAGTTAGGAAAATAGACTACTCATAAAGAAGATTATGTCACTGATTTAAGTCTTTTCCTCCCCCACAAAGTAGCATATATATACACATTAAAACTATTTCATTAAGACAATTTTTAACTCTGAGAACTATAGATTTTAAGTATGTATGTTAAAAACTGGATTTGCTGCATTTTAAATGCCTTGTGCAACAAAATATGAAATATCCCCGATGTGCATAAAATTGGAGGAAATTATCAGCACTGAACAGTCTCTACATTGGTTTATCTTATTACTACTACTACATCATCTTATCTAGCATCGACCAACAAATATCCAGTCAGAAAATACTATTAAAGACTTCTAGGAAAATATTTTTAGAAGTCTATTAACATATTAACTTGAGACCACTACTTTCTAGGACTGTCTTGTCCTTTCTGCCATTTTCTCACAGCCTTCAGCTACAAAGTTCAGATACATGATCTATATCTTATGCCTTGATTTTTCTACCTCTAGTTGTTTTCATGTGCTTCCTATTAATTTTTGTATGGTTCAGTACATAAAAATAGTACATAAAAATGTTTAAGATTTCTGACCAGAATCAATGCCCTACTCTCCCTGCCCTACGAAATTTAACATCAATAAATTTGAATAAATGGCTTCCAAGACATTTAGTCCCCCCACCCCCAGTTCATACATTTCCAGTTGCTTTTCCATCAACTTTTCGTTATCATCCATTGTCTGCTTGGTTCATTCTTGCACCCTTATGCTTTCTTAATATGCTCATGATATATTTAGTCTCCTTCAGTGTGTTTTCATTTGTTGGACATAAGCTAGGTGTTCTGTATTTCTATATATGATTACTAAGTCCAAGATGTGAATAAAGTATTAATGCTACAGCCTTGGCTGTGGGTTCCCCATCCCATTACTGTGCCATTCTCTTTTCTAAACCATTCCCTCCAGTCAATGGTATGTCATTCCCTTTACCAAAAAGACAGCATCTCCCTATATCTATTGTATGTTCTTCTTCCCTCTTAAAATCTCCTTCCATAGCCCATTCCAAAGATTTCTTGCCATGCTGGTCTAAAACATACTATATGACTGCAGTAAGAAGTTCTCTTAATATAATCAGTTCTCAATAAATGGCATTTTAAATATACTTTTCATTTGCAACCTGGCAGTAGACAATCAGATCTAAGGCATTTTACCTGAGAAAGGTAACGCCTGTAGTCTTGTCGAAGCTCCTCCTTCAACTTGTGTTTTTTCTGTTCATATTCTTCCCCAAGAGGCAAGCTTAAGCCATATCCTACAAAATGAAGGTCACATCTTAGGCATGATTATGCAAACTACTGACTACTTGCTGGAACTCTGTGACCCAATAGCAAGTTTGATGTATTTTGATGTATTTCTATCAGAATGCAAAACTGATTTTCTTCTTTCTTTTCATGTTTGCTATTCTACCCTGTTTGTAAAGTAATATATTTTCTTTCTTTTATCTTCAATTAGTATGTTTCTCTTATCTTTACCCTTAATAAGATGCCATAAGTGATTCAGCCTGATCAACTGAATCGCTCTGGAATAAAGTTTGGTGGTTCACATAAGGCTATTTCACACATTTTTACATAAGACATGGGTATTCAGAATCTTAAATACCTCTTCAAAATAGTTTACACATGCATGTCTATCACTTGATGACCGCAGTAATAATCTGCATCTATATATGAGGCAAATATAACAAATATAGAAATTGTATCAGCTCACATGACTACTAACATAATACTTCTTAACCAAGCTAGTTCAATTAAGTTGAAGACATCATATAAATTGAAGTGCTATTTAAACATGTATGAAACAGGCCTTAATGATGGCAATGATTTGTTTTTTTCTGTGAAAGAAGCAGCTACCCACAGTATAAAGGTACAATTCAACAAACATGTGTTATAACTAGGTAACAGAAACCACAAATATATTTTCCAACAATTCCAGCACCATCCATTTTCAATTTAATTGTCCCTTAATCCAACAAAAAGAATGGTGTGCCATTAGGAAGCAAGGCTAGGAATGCTAGTTGCCTTTTAAATTAAGCGGCATTTTAATTGTTAATATTATTGGATTTTATCTGGCCAGGGCGGCTTATTTTATATTGTTATTTTTGTATTTTTAATTTTAATATTTATATTTTTAATTTAATGTTATTTATTTTTAACTTATTGTTGTAAGCCGCCCCGAGGCTTCGGCGAATGGGGTGGCATAAAAATGTTTTAATAAATAATAATAATAAATAATTTCTCTGGATAATTGAGACTGCATTAGCAAAGACAAGAAAAGCAAGAACATTTGTCAATTCAGAATTGAACTCATTTACTGCATCAGCTTGTATTAAAATAAGATGTCAAAAACCACTTTTAAGCACACATTTTATGATAAATTCTTCTCTGAAAGTCATTAAAGAAACTCTGAATTGTGAAGAAACTGAACCTAGCATAAAAGCAGCACAAAGTAGCCAAACTTGCACTAAGTAAACAGATTTAGAAGTAGGCACTGTTAAACTGGATGGAACTACCATCTGAGTAAATATGCACAGGATTAGATTGTATTGGTTTTTGTGATTTTTTTCTAGGATATATGGGTGTTGATACTTCATTTCCAGGGGAGGAGAACAAAATGAGGTGCTTACCAGAAGAAGTTGGAAGATTCCAAAGATACGCAACTGTTAGCCATGTATTCTATTTTAAGCATGTTTTGACATCAAACTAAATTCTAATTGAGGAATTTTTTCCCTTCTATAATGGATTGGTGTCATTTTATTTTTATTACACACTAAATTTATAAAATATATGCAAGTGAGGGAATATGGCAATGCATTTAGGGGCAAAAAAAAATCTCACTTTTGGCCTCATAATGTACATTATTCTGTGATAATAATTAGCACAGCCTAGGCATGTCATTCCTTTGTGACATCATGAAAATATTTAAAAATAAAGGGAAAAGATACCTTCAACTCACTTAAAAGGCAGCAATCTTGATCGTCCTAGTACAATGCCAGGCCTCTTTTCACTGGCAGTTGGATTCATTACCTTCAAGAACAACAGCCTTGGGCTAAATACAAACACTTGAGCTAAAATTCTGTTTTGTATTTTTGTGAATATATTGCATTTTAGTAATGACAGCTGGGAGCAACCTTGACTAGTCCCTTCAAATGAAATTACTAGTTTATCTTGCCTGCTTGAAGCACTGTATTGGTAAGGAAAATATACTCATTAATATAGCTTACACAGAATATCAACTACTAACCATGAGAAGAAAATGAACCTACATTGACAGAGGCAGTTTACTTTTGGATACCAAGTACTAGAACAAACTGGAAAAGAGAACCTGCACTATCCTGCTTGTGAGATTCAGCAATCCACTGATAAAAAGAGAATGCTGGAAAAGATTGGTCTTGATCTGATTAAACAAGCTAATTCTTATGATCTAAGACAGAGTAAACTTATGGCTCAGAAGTCAAATACAAAAGACATACTTTTTTGGGTGCTGCCATGATGTTTTCTCAGAGGGCTCTGAGGGTAAGTAGTACTTAATTGTTATTTTAGGTCATTTCTAGTGATGTCATGTTTGCCTACTCTCAGGCTGACTTCATCATATTAAACTGTTTCAGCAAAGATATTACAAGATGAGTACTGCTTCATGAGGTTCTTTTTAAGCTTCTCAGACTTGTACACTTACGTATAAAATACATTAGCATATCAGAACAGATAAAAAATCAGAAGTCTACATCAATTTAATCCTGAACTTTCAGACTGTCAGGAAATTTAGAGAGCAATTCTATGAGCCCCCAACATCATCTGTGAGGCCATAGGACTATTCAGAGCCCTAGCTCTGAAATCTATCTCAGAACTAGGACTCTGAAGATTGAGCCCCCCACTTCCCACAGACAGCAAAGAAACTGCACACTGGATGTTCCCCTCCACGAGGTTGCAACTGGGCCATGCAAGGGGAAAAACAGGCATGCTCAGAGGTAGGGAAGACAGGAGGGCGGGATCAAGGACTTGCACTGATTCCTATCAGTGTCTCAGTTTCCTTTCTTCTTAAGTACTTTATATAGATTGCTGAAAATGGCCATTCAGATAAAATACCTGATGTGAGTCATGGTGGCAGAGACCGGTACTTCCACAACTCATTCCAGGCATAGGATGCACATAACTCATTCCAGGCACAGGATGCACATAAACCTCCAAGTTTGTAGGTTTCTGCTCATCAAAGGAACAATCTGCACTCTTTTTACTTTATGTTTACAGTTAGAAAGAGCAAGCAGAAGAATTATCAAGGCTATATTAATGCCAGCTCCTATTTAATAGGGAAAGTTTTTATCATAATAAATGACAGTGCTGGCTACTAAAAATATAACCATTCAACTTCAACTAATAAATTTTTCCCTAGAGAAAAAAATATTGGGACTTTTATACTTTCTGCAGAAAGAAGGAAAAGCTTGTGAGGGGAGTGGCAGAAAAATGGCTCCAGGGCAAAATATTAAGCAGGCCCTCTTACCTTAATTTCTTCATCTATAAAACATTATCTGCTCTTAATAATGGTCCAATAGCTAATTCTATGCATTTTTAGTAACCACTTTTCAGTATGTGTGGAGATATCTTTATTCTAGATTTATGCTAAACAATCATACTATTGGAACAATAATCTATCCAGACTTTTTAATTTCATTTTTATATTCTTGAATGCATTTTGTCCTTACAAAGCAGCAAGGTAAGTCAGTATTTTATATTACAATGAATAGAAAAAGACAGACTTACCACATACAACAAGTCCAGGCAAGAATTAGAACACAAACTGAAAGCTGCCAACTCCAAGCTCAGCTCTTAAGATACTGGGTGGCACTGGTTGCTAAATGAAACTCTCATAAAAGTTACAGTTCTTGGTACTAAACGTCAATGGTCCAGTTTGTACTTCAGATCAACAATGGTATTGAAAAACCTGTGTTGTTGTGGACAAATGATCTGCAGTCAATTCTGTTCAATTCCTATTATTGAACTAAATCAGGACATTGATGGGATCATCTCCCAGCTTTCTGTTGGGATGAACAGTGGCTACACTTAGGAATCCCAAGTTTACTTAATCATTCCTTAAAGAGCTTCAGACTGTGTTTGGTTAACAGTACATGCCAAACTAAAGAGCCCTCAATTCTAGGTTTGAACATCCATCTAAAGTAGTACTTATTTTATGACTTTCAGCCAGGACACATTTAACTCAGCTAATGGACTGGCAACTCTATCGATTCCAGTCTGAAAACGACATTAATTCAATACAAAGCAACACCATTCTTACTCTTCTTTCAAAAAATTAAAGCCAAAGTTTACCTAACATTATTTCTTTACCCAAGCATATGTTCTGCAATATCTGTTTGTAATTAGTTCAGTACAAGTTTGTATGATCATTTTTCCAGCAAGCTAGAGTGCCATTCTCAGGACAAAGAGAACCTTGATCACAGATGAAAGCCACAAAACAAAGCAGCATGGCAGTCTATAGGAAAACAAATGTAAGCAACAGAAACACAACTACCTTCTGAGGGACACCAGAGATGTTGCTAGGTAACAACTGACTTGATACAAGACCCTTCACAGAAGGTAGGCATCAATAAGCACAAGATGAAAAAATGGGTCATATCTGGATGAAAATTTCACCCTCAAAAAAGTAAATAGTAACCTGCTTATCAAAGGAGAGTGACCGATACCTGAGATGCAAGGTTTTAGAAAGATAAGTAGCTATATTTTTCTTAAATGCACACCAAATAAAGAAGCAATGTCAAAAAAGTCTCATTTTTCTACTTTAAAGGAATGAAATCTGTTAAAGGAGATGGAGTTTGTTTATAATTTGAACATCAATCTAAACTAGTGCTTCCATGTAGCCTGAAGGGCCTGATCATGCCCCATCTTGGAAGCTAAGCAGGGTCAGGCCTGGTTGGAATCTGGATGGGGGACTTCAACATTGTGAACACCCAGAGAGCTTTGGCTATGGGTGGTATAGAAATATAATTAATAATAATAATATAATTTCACAAATATGAAAAGTTGTATATACCATTAAAGCCTTTATTGAAAACCAAGGGTACATTCAGACTACATTTTCCTTATACCATACAAAATCTTATCTATTGTAGATTACCTGTGACTGCACAGGGGGCAAAGGCTAGAAGGTATTCATAACTGCCAACTATGTCTTATGGTATAACATCAGTAAAGCATTACTGCATCTTTGGAACTACAGCCAAGAAGTTCCTCATGCATTATATCCCTTCAAAGAGCAATCAACCTGCATAGGAATCCTTCTGAATGGGATCCAATGTGCCCTGCACTTCAGCTGACTTTGTTGACCACAAGGGCTATCACTGCAATAGGAAGACAGCATTTTCTAGAGGAACTGCAGAAATGAACATAATTACTTGTTTCCAGAATGTGATAGTTCAGACAAGTTAATTTCTGGTTGTTTTAAGAAGCACTAACTTCTCACTCTGCTGGTGATGGTCCTACTAGATCTCAGGAAGCAGCACTAGATATTGCCCTCTGTGTCACAAAAGGGATATTTTCAAAATTTTTATCTCTTATTTGTGGGAAGGAGTATGTTTAAGATACTTTGTAAGTTTGCTAGAGCATAGTAAGGTTTTAGCATAGATGGAAGATACAATAAACTGACAGATACAATAATGTTTTCCCTTAATATGAGACAATAACTATCTACAGCGAAATGAAACATGAATACCATCTGTACCAGGCTGTTGATTATTTGGTGGAATGTTTTCTTTAGCCATGGATATTAGTATTTTGCTTGTCTCTGAAAGCTTCTCTGAACTTTTATTCTGCAAAGAAGAAAAACAAAAAAAAAAAAAAAAACACAGAATATGGCAGAATTAACATGACTAGAACAAAATGCTTTAATTTCTGCAAGTTCAATTGAATATGATAAGGAACTGCAGAATGTTTCTAAGAATAATTGCCACTAATGCAAGTATTATTATCCCCCACCCCGAACATGTTCAATGGACGGATCAATATGTGCACCTTATCTGAGAACTGTACTGTACTGCCTGGCGACGGTGACACATGCGCTGGTGACTTCCCGCCTAGACTTCTGTAACGCGCTTTACGTGGGGCTTCCCCTGAAGACGGTCCGAACACTTCAATTGGTGCAAAGTAGAGCTGCCAGGTTGCTGACGGGGACGGGGCGTTATGCTCACATGACTCCAGTCCTCCGTCAGCTTCACTGGCTTCCCATTGAAGCCCGGGCCCAATTCAAGGTGTTGGTGATGACCTATAAAGCCCTAAACGGCTTGGGTCCTGGCTACCTGAACGAGTGCTTACGTCCGTATATGCCCGACCGCCCTTTGAGATCTGCGGGAGAGTCCCTTCTCCGGGAACCCTCCATGAAAGAAATTAGGAGAGTAAGTAGTCGGAGGAGGGCTTTCTCTGCGGTGGCGCCCAACCTATGGAATTCACTCCCCAAAGAGGTCCGTCTGGCACCGTCGTTACTGGTTTTTCGGCGCCAGGTAAAGACCTTTTTATTTAAACATCATTTTAATTGTTAAAATATATGATCTGGCCAAGGCAACTTCTTCTTCCTTCTCTTTTCTCCTCCTATATTATTTATTTACTTATTTTATACTGATAATTTTAATTTTATATTATTATGTTCATAACTCAGTGTATTTTTTGTATTTTTGTATTTAATGGTAATTTATTATGTTCTATTGTATTTCAATGTATTTTATTGTGTTGTAAGCCGCCCCGAGGCTTCGGCAAGGGGCAGCATAGAAATGTTATAATAATAATAATAATAATAATAATAATAATAATAATAATAATAATAATAATAGGATGGATGTTAGTATACATGTACTAAAGAAGCCTAGATGCTATCTAGACAGACATAAGTCAGATCCCAGCTTCAACTGCAGAAATGCATTTAGAGGTTGGAACTATGGCTGCCTCCCTCTGCCCTCATAGCCTGTGTACTTCTTGCTTCAACAGGGAAAGGGGGACATTCTGGGAGAAGGAGAGGAGCAAGCCTCTGCCAGAATTTGATGCATCCCAATGGTCCCTCAGCTCCTCCTACTTTTGCAGTGCCAAAAGACAAAGACAGCTGAAATCAACTCTCTGTACCTTCTGCCAGGTGAGGGAATCAGAGAGGCAACACTTGCCCCCACACTCCTCCCACTCATGACTGGATGCTTATAATCCGCCAACTTCTGTTCCAGATAGGCAAATTGGATGGCACCATCCATAAACAACATATAACCCTGACCTTTTAAAGGGTTTAATAGGAACACAGACATTATACTAGGTCAGAATATTTATCTATCTAACATGGCATTGTCTATTATGACTGGGAACAGCTTTCAAAATTGTCAGATAGAACTCTTTCAAATCACATGTAACCTGATCCTTTTAACTGGAGATGCTAGGGACTGAATTTGGAACCTTCAGAATGTAAATCACATGCTCCAGCACAAAGTTATTATAACTAACACTATATAACAAGTGATATACAAGTAGCTTATATTTATTTCTTCTAGTTGTCATTCTCTTAAAATTCTCAGAGCCTCCAGAGGGCCAACTTTGGATAATGTTACTATTTATGATTTTTAGGACTGTAGTCCAAATATTGTCAACATTGCACTTATTGGAAATATGTGGCTGACTTTTATGTCAGCAAAGGCCATAAACATATATTTTAATTTCTGTTTGGCTCTCTTTATAATATCACATACAAACACTTTTTAATCAACTTTATTTACTCACTTAACAATAAGGGACAGGCACACAGAATAAAATCTCAAGAGTAAAGTATTTAAGAGACTTTAACCTGAATTATAGGAATAATGCTCTGCAACTCAACATTAATACCTTACCTGCATTTCCATGTAAGGAGGATCATTTTCAAGTTTTGCTTTGTCTTGTGCCAGCTTGGCTTTTTGTTCTTCAATAAACTGGTCTAGGTTTTCAGTTATCATTTTTTGAATCCTGGAAATGATAAAGGATTATTGAAGTTAGTGCCTAAGGGACAAATAACAGAAAAAATCTTCTACAGCTATGACTCACACAGTATTAATCATAAATATACATATTATACAGGAGCAAAGCAGCCTCTCAAGACCTTGGCTTACAGACTGTAAAAGTTTCAGCAGTTAACCTTAATTAGATTCAGCACAACTCCAGTGTAAAGGCAGATACACTAAACAATACTAATGGGACTGGCTTGTGGTTTCTGAAGAAAGTAAAAGCTTCATTTTCAAATTGTTTAAACTGTTCAGTGAAATTGAATCTTAAAATAAGTTAAAGAATCTTATGAATTTATATGAATATTTAAAAAGCTATAAACAGAATTTGTATTAATCCGAATTCTTGAGCAACTGATATAGATGGTTGAATCTAAGACGAAAAGAAAAAACAACAAAGAAGCCAAAGAGATCTCTCTGTTGGATGAACGCTGTATAATTATTTTAAAACTCAATGACTTGACATGGATATTGAATGCCTTATAGAGCGCTGGACGAATGTTGAATAGCTATCTTTTTAATTTGGTGGAATAAAGCTTAAAGAATAAGTGATTTAACTGGATTCTGAATATTGATTTGTTGGTCTTAAATTGTTGATGCCACAAAGACAACCACAATGAAAAATTCACTCTGTCTGGAATCATGAAATAAGAAGATCATCAGATTTGAGTCTAATTAGTGCTACTAGACTAACACGTACAGAGAGTGAAGAGAAATTGGAAGGAGTCTCAGGAAGCAAAATGGCTGAAGAAAAGACCTTGAAAGCTTTAAGAAGATTCTGGACTCAAGTATGAAAGAACAGAAAGAGGATAATTCTTAAGAACTGAAATGGATGAGAGAGCAGTTCAAAGAGGATATTAATCAGATGAAAATTGAAAATCAGAACGCTTTTACAAAAATGATGAATCAAATGAAGGTGATGGAGAAGAAATTCAAAGAAACAGGGCACTGGTTAAAGCTAACACTTTGCATATAATTTGCCATTCTGAAAAAATAACAGAGCTAGTGAAAAATGTTATTGATTCTTTGAAGTGATGTGCTTGCATGGTTTAAAGAATTGATGCCAGATGTGAAATGGGAAGAAGACAATATAGAGAGAATACATCATGTTGGCCTCCAAAGCCAGGTTAGAATAACTCTGAGAGATGTATTGATAATATTTTCCAACTTTTATAAGAAAGAAAGGCTGATGAGAAAGTTGAGAGAAAATTTGGGTCAACTAAAGTTTAAGGATGCACCTATTCAAGTGTTTCCAGATTTATGTTCCATATTATTTTTTAGGAATTCATTGCAAACATTTAAGATTATTTTGTTGAAGAATAATGTTAAATATACTTGGAGATACCCAGTGTATATGACAGTCTGGCATAATAAAAAATAGTACAGAATAGAGTCACTGGAACGAGGTTAAAATTGGTGCATGAATCAGGCCGTATAGATGAAGAATAGTGAAAGGAAGAAATTGAAAAATGAGCCAGAATAGAATACAAGATCAAGAATTTACTTCAAAAAGAAAGAATTTGAGCAGTTGGTGGATTTTCTTCAACCCTGGCTACTGACTACAGAAAAGCAGATCTTGCAGCAGTTCAAAAGCTTCTACAGGATGAAAAGAAAAGAGATGAGCTATAAGGGGCAATGGGGAGTCTTTCTCCAATTTAGACCATTAAATGAGTTGAAGAAGAGGCATTCTAGGTTAATAGTTAGGAGGTAGAAGGTAACTTACACTCTACTTTATGGTTATGGGTAATTATTAGGTAAGGTTTATTATATAAGAGATAAGTAATAATTTATAAGTAAGATAGATGAATGTATAAATAGAGTAGATCTCTAACTTTGACTAAGCTAAATATACTAGATGAATTTTGAATATGTGAAGTATAAATGGGAAAGACAGTATTGAGAATTTAAAGAGTTAAAGAATTTAAAGAGTTAAAGCCCAACAATGATATATGATTTAAATTTGAAATGGTTAAAATTGTAAGAGTATTTAGTATAGTGTTTGATTATGTTCATTACCATTATATTAACTGTATTATCTATGTAAGTTCAATTAATAAAATGTATAAATTAACCAAAAAAAAGACCAGCATCACTTAATTCTCAAGCAGGAGTGATGAGAATCTGCTGGGCAACACTGCCCAGTCGGAGACTGCACACTGCAGCAAATTCCCTCATGCCACCTCTCTCACATGAGCAGCGAGGCAAGAGGCAGCTGAGCAGTGGCAGTGGTGCCTGGTTAGGAGCTGCATACTGCAGCAGATTCCCTGGGTATGCAACCAGAGTGAAGCTCCTCATAGGCCAGCAGCAGGAACAAGAAGTAGCTGAGCAGTGCTGTGGAAAGGAGCAGCACCACTCAACTGATTTCCCTCTGCCACTTTGCATGCACCAGAGTGAACCACTTCATGCACATGAATGACCCAGCTCTTTTTTTCCCTGCCGGGCTTCCTCAGTGATTTGTCAATCAGTGTGATTCTCTCAGTCTTAGATATTACCTCCTCTTGTCACAGTTGACAGTTTCCTGCTGGCCCTCCCCCACTTCTGAATGGTGAGAAGAACACTGGAATTCCTCTCAAGACACTGGAGAATTGGCAGCATCTAGCTTCAGAGTGCTTCTGACCATAACTTACCACCATTTGTTGCCATAGGCTTTCATGAAAAACACTGATAATTTTAAAACTACCTTTCGTTTTCCACCAATCCAGGTGAGACAGTGGCTGTGCTGAACCGGTGCCTGGCCAAGGTAATGGGCTGCATGAGGGCCAATAAACTGAAGCTCAATCCAGACAAGATGGAGGTCCTGTTGGTGGGTGGTTCGGGACTCGGGATGGGGGATTTGGGCCTTGTCCTAAATGGGGTTGCACTCCCTCTGAGGGACAGAGTTCGCAGCTTAGGAGTGCTCCTCGACCCTGAGCTGTCTTTAGAAGCCCAGGTGACAGCGGTAGCGAGGAGCACTTTCCTTCAGCTTCGGCTGATCCATCAGCTGCGTCCCTTCCTGGAGAACAATTGCCTGGCGACAGTGACACATGCATTGGTAACTTCCCGATTAGATTTCTGCAACGCGCTCTACATGGGGCTACCCTTGAAGACGGTCCGGATACTTCAATTGGTGCAGAATAGAGCTGCCAGGCTGCTGACGGGGACTGGACGTTGTTCTCATATAACCCCAGTTCTCCGTCATCTCCACTGGCTCCCGATTGAAGTCTGGGCCCAATTCAAGGTGTTGGTTATGACCTATAAAGCCCTCAACAGCTTGGGCCCTGGGTATCTAAAGGAACGCTTGTGCCCATATATGCCCTCCCGCCGCTTGAGATCAGCAACAGATGCCCTTCTCCAGGAACCCTCTGTGAATATTAGGAGGGTGAGTACCCGGAGGAGGGCCTTCTCTGCGGTGGCGCCCCACCTATGGAATACGCTCCCCAGAGAGGTCCGCCTGGCACCGTCATTATTCGTTTTTCGGCGTCAGGCTAAGACCTTTTTATTTAAAACTTATTTTAAGTGTTAATTTATTATGTAGGATTTTTTTAAAAAAATTAAGCCGAGATGCACCGGGTTTTAATATTTTTAGTGTATAATTTTTGTATGATTTTGTATGTTTTTGTTTTTGTTGTGAGCTGCCCCAAGGCTTTGTTGCGATGGGGGCGGCATAGAAATGTTTTAAATAAATAAAAACTGTTGTTCAGAATTTTACCAAGCCAAATGAAAGGCATACAACCTCAGCAAGTCTGAATACATAGAAACAGAGCGAGTCAGAAGGGACCTCCCAGGCCATCTAGTCTGACCCCCGGCTCCACTCACGACATGCCCACCAATACTTTAGTGGTTCCCCCCAGAATTTGAAAGAAATCTATGATATGCCAAATCACAATTTGAGCAAAAAGGTCTAGAACCAATTTAACATGTTTTAAAGTGCTGTGTCTGTAGCAATTTTAGCTGGGTTGGTTTGAACTTCTGTGCAACTGAAGATCACATCAGACAGATATGGGTCACAAGTTTCACATTATGAACAATGTCCTTTACCTAAGAGTAGATTTGAATCTCTTAATGGCTGGGGCTTTTTATTGTAACTCCACCTTGGGGGACCCTTGAGTCCCTTTAATGCAACCTATTCTAAGGCTACAATCCCATGGACATTTAATAATAAGGATCATTGCACTCAGTTACATTTACTTCTTGATAAACCTTCTAACACTTGTGTTAAATATATTTGGTGACATATTCATAGCAGTAGTTGAACTGTATGAGCTAACTGCTTTTTAGGAGTCACAATAAGCATTACAGCCATCTTAATCCTGAACATATGCTGTCCCTTTGTGGTTTTCTAATTTCACAAACTGTGTTCTTCAAAACCCTTCCCCATATAGAAATTTTTTTTAGTTAACTCTTGAAGACGATTTAGATATTTGATAACACAAACAACCTCTGAATCCATACAAGGAGTTACAAGGGAGGTAACACAGAGCAAGTAGCAAAGTTTTTGATTGGGAAAGGGAGAGGCTGGAAAGAGAAAAGCAACCGCCGTTTCTACGCGTCGATTTCTTTAAGAAGCCATTCAGCGTTGTTAGGCAACCGGAACACAACAAGAACGGAGGCCTCTGAACAGTCCTTGCGAAAACAGATCCCATAGTACGCACTTTTCTGTAGAAAAGCAGTCTCCGGGACTTCAGAGGGCACCATCCTTAATCCAAAATGGTAATTCCACGTACACACTCCCAGCCAGTCAGCGAAACCTTGTGAGAGGCATTTACCCGCCTTCCCCCAAACTCTTTAAAGATGTATGCCGATATTTCCTTCAGACTCCTTGTAACAAAGGAGGCAACTACTTACCTTCCTACTTCTTCCAAACTAGGAGAAGGAATGCGCTCTCCCTCAACACGCATACGCGAACTTTCTAGTCCTCATCAGAAAGTGACCCACTTGTTGTGGGGGGAACCGCATCCCCGCTCCCCCGCACCGTTCCCTCACTAGAAGAACACGTCCAACCGCCGGTCTTCGCAATCGCTACTGCTACCACCCGTCGGAACCTGCCTGGTCACTCGCCCGCTCCAGAGAGGCCCAGCCGCCGTTCGGCTGTCAAGCGGCAGCTCCCGCCGACTCTCCAGTCGTTCAACTGCAGTCGCTCCCGGCTCCCCACCTCGTCTGGGAGGAGCCAACCCAACTGCTGGCGAAGTTGTGTGCAAATGGCTCCCTCTACTGTTTGGGACGAGGCGCCAATCCTTTAATAGGGGCCAGAAGAAAACTTTTTTTCTGTATTGCAGGGACGAGCGTGGAGGTCTCGAATCGCGTTTGAACGCTTTTCCTTATGTGCGTGAGCGGCACTTTTCAGGTGAACATAATAAAAGTTGGACTAGCCGTTCCGTTTCTTTTTTCTTGCATTCCAGAGGAGCTCACTGTAATGCTTGTGGAGGTGATTTTCGTTTCCTAATTTTGCAACTCACCATGGTTTTTTTTCCCTCATTTTCTGGCAGTAGAGTTACCAAGTTTCTCCATAAAATAGACCAGATAATTTTTTTGCTGATACATACACATACAAGGGAGTGATCCAAGTGAATGGATACCTCGTGAATGAAGTTTAAGAGCAGTGCACTGCGAAGTAGAGCACGAAAAGCACCTCAGTAAATGGAAAAGAGCTGGTCATAATAGAATTGTCAAAATGTTCCTATTTTTATTTTCATGTATTTGATATTTCAAAACAAATCACAAAGTAATTAACAGGATAAACACAAAGAATATTTGCGGTAAATAGCGGGTTCGTAATCTGTTGTGCTCTATGCAGCTGTAATTTTTGTTCTTCTAATTCCAGAAATCCTTTTTAAATGTGATGCAGCTGTTTGTACCAGTAAGACGACATTAACAGCAGGTTTAAGCAATACGTTAAGTATAATAAAGAGTTAAACGTATGTAACGTGTTTTTCTTGCTGTCCGCTTCTCGTATTTGGTTGTCTTGAGCCGCCAAGTTTATCGTGACCTGACGTAGTGAAAGGAGCCGTTTGTCTTCCCGCGGGAGGCCAATTCCACTGCTTTTCGTTAGGGGGCGAGCTAACTGAACGCGTCGTGCAGAGGATGGAAACGCTAGCTCTATTCCCCTCCCAAGATATATCCTCCCACTTCCGTGGTGCTTGGTTCGCGCCGCTGCGGCAAGCGGACTAGAAGGCGTAGGCCATCTGGGCGTTTATTCTTGGGCTGGCCGGCTTAGCTGGCTTGGCTCTCGGCCTAAGGAACCATTGACATGGCGGCTGCCGGCCCTTCCGGGAGTGGAATTGCCCAAAAGACATGGGAGATGGCCAACAATATGCAAGAGGCGCAAAGTATCGATGAAATCTACAAGTACGACCGCAAGCAGCAGCAGGAGATCCTGGCGGCCAAGCCGTGGACCAAGGAGTAAGTGGGCACATGGGCAAGACGGAAGGGAGGAGGAGGAGGAATGCCCTCTCTCTTGGGTCTGATTCTCGGCCCGACCAGCGTTAAACTGGGCTTTGCAGGCTGTGATGTAACTAGGGCTTGCACGTTGGTGGCAGTGTCCAGGCCTCTCAGTCCAGCCCTTCCCATGACCAACCAAAGAGTGGCAGGTGATGAGGGCAGCAGAAGTAAACCCGTTGATTTAAATGCATGTAAAATGCAAAACTGCACATGCTCAGGAATTATAGTTTAAATCAAGGTCGCCAAACAGTGTTATTGTTCTTAAGTAAAAGGACTGTAGAATAAATTGTGAAGGAAGAGAATTATTAGTTGTGTGCTTTACAACTAAGGTAACACATGGTTGTTTAACGGAGACACCCATGATATAATTTAAGTCCAGTGTCTAAAATTATTTAGATGCACCACTGTTTATTGTTTCTGGATGATGCCAAAAGGTTCAGGCAGAGGTGGTAAGGAAAGGGTGTTTACTTGGTCCACATATGAACTCATGGATGATTAATCTTAATTCACTGAAGAGGTTAGAAATAGCAGAGAAAAGGTATGGAAGGGGGAGTTCACAGAACTCTGGGCAATTTCTACCATAGTATGGATTCAGTACAAAGAGACAAGATAGGAGAGGGAAGGGTGGTAGAAATAACACAACTTGGCAGTTGTTTAGATGTTAGCAGAGAGGAGAAAATAATGGAGCCAAGGTGAATCCAATGAAAGGAAGGAAAGCTTCCTGTATCAGCACACATATGTTATGTTATGATCCCTTGGTGTTTTGCTAGAGAGAGGCAGGCTTATGAATTTGAGAACTGGCTGCTTCCAAAGTGCAAATAATAATACCTAATGCAGTATCTTAGTGTAATTGTATTTGACTTTATTTTAGACTTTATAACCTGCACCTTCATCCAAAAAATGGATTGCAAGGTTGTAGGCCTAAAACGTTTAAATAGTACAAAAGTAAAACAAGAAACATTTTGTATATGCTGTAATGTGTAGGGTCACAAGGTCTCTTTGGGGAGGAAATAAGCTCTTTTTGAGAATGGATTCTTTAATTTCCCTTTGTCTACTTTTCCAAGTATTTCCATGTATGTGAGATTTGAACAATTGTTAAATTAAGAGGCTAAAAAGAGCAGCATTCTAAATCTGGAAGGAAGAAAGAGATCTGTCATGTGATGCAAATCTAATTCTGTTGGTAGGGCTTTCATTCATTCTAATTGTATTGTTTAAAAGATGGATATACTGTTCAATAACCATATTCTCAGAATAGCTTATAGCAAAAACAACTAAAATATGTACAGCAAATCCATAAAACAACATTTGTAAAGCACCCAGATAAAATAAATAAAAAGTAGAAACAGATTAAAATGCATGAAAGTGCAATTCTGTGGCTTGTTCCTGTGGGATAGTTTGGAGTCCCTACCCTGATCATAGAAAAGTTCTCTGAGAAGTCTATTCCATAGCTGGAAGGTCACCACCCAAAAGGACCTTTCTGTAGTAGCAACCCACCACATTTTCCCTGGCAGGGGCACCTAGAAAAGAACCTTAAAAGATATTTAAAGCCCAGGAACAGACACAGGGAGAGAGGCAGTCCTTCACATGCTCTTGTAATAACCTGTAAAAAACCTTAAAGCAAGCCAGTGTGTTGAACTGGGCCCAAAAATAGACTTGGAACCAGTGGCATTATCAGAGAACAAGCATCATATACCTGTACTGCCTGATCCCAGTTGACAATGTTGAATCTGTTTTCTGAACTAACTGAAATTTCCAATCATTTTTTAAAGGCAGCCCCATCTTTAATACATAGCTCTAGCCCAAATGGACATTGATAGGGATAATGTGGTCTTAGTAGTCCAACTTGGGTTGTAATTGGCTCACTAACTGAAGATGAAAAAAGGTGTTCCATGTCATGGAGGCAACCTGCACCTCCAGTGACAAAGATGGATCAAGGAGTAGCCCGAACTCTTGAGTGGGCTGGACATCACTCACCTGTGTAGGTGAATATTCTACTAATAATCCCAAAATCCATGATTAGCCAAATGCTTTTATAATAAAAACCAAATAAACACAGAAGCTTTCCAGATTTTATCAAGCAAAATCTTATAAAAAGTTTGGGGAGGGGGGGTTGACAGTGTTGAAGTTATAAGCTCTGAAAGTCTTAAGGTGGAGTGAAGTAGGAGCTAGAGATGTAAATCTGTTAGCTTCTACTGAGCATCATGCATGTCTCAGTTTACACCTAGGACTGATGGAATTAGCATACATATAATGGCTGGCTACCCCAATTTTGAAAATATAAAATACAGTTGTTACCCAGCTTTTTCTCTAATCTGAGGCAAGACATAGTTTGCTTAGTATATGGAGAACAAAAGCAAGAAACATTGGAATTTTTATATTAGCAAGATTAGTGATTGCATTTCATATTGTGCCGTAGGTTAAAGAAAAAGAAAAGCACAAGCCAAATTGGATAGTGTTACCTAGTAGCTGGAGAGAAGCCAACTCTCGAAGACTAGACTTTGATCTTAAAAATAAGTTGATACTCATTTTTCTTCAACATGAGTTGAGCCTTTCTCTCCTCCTCCTCTATGCTTTTTTAACATCTTACCTGATGAAGAGATCTAAAGATCTCAAGACCTTGCCCACCATTTCACTGGAATTTTTCTTATGGGCCAAAACAGTTTGTTCTATGGCTACCAACAGTGCATCTTACTGTGTCTGAATTGAGTTTTAATTTACTGTTTCTGGTTAGCAGGATGAGCACTCTTTCTAGAATAATTTCTTACCTAATGCTTGTATTTCTCCCATTTTATTTTCCTGTCATAATAGTTCCTTGTAGTTTAAAGATGTTTGATCTTGTTGTTGCAGTCATCACTATTTCAAGTATTGCAAGATTTCTGCTCTGGCTCTCCTAAAGATGGTCATGCATGCTAGGTCAGGAGGCAATTTGGAAGTGATGGGCTTAATGCTTGGAAAAGTGGATGGTGAAACTATGATCATCATGGACAGCTTTGCTTTACCAGTCGAAGGCACTGAAACACGAGTTAATGCTCAAGCCGCTGCATATGAGTATATGGCTGCATATATTGAAAATGCAAAGCAGGTAAAAAGAGACGTCTGATTTCCTTTCAGCAATTTAACATGTACCAAAGCAGTCTGAAATTGAATTGGGAATGGAGGACACTGAGCTTGTAACTTCTGAACAATGGATGTTGCCTTACAACTCTATCTGGCCTCACTTATACTACCAGTTCAATATAAACTTGGGCCAACTTTCATTCAGATCAATCTTTGCTTAGAGTCCACATGAAACATTTCTTTATGCACATACTTATAGGTGTGTTTTCTTAATTTTATCTATGTTTTAATTATCTTAGGGATTTCAAGGAGGATGAGGAATTCAGTCCTTCCATTTAATTACTGCATTTGTCAAATGCACAAGGCTCAAAGTTATTAACTAGTAATATGGTAGCATGCATATTTTTATCCTGCTTCTAGGATTCCTGGTGTCATCTGGCTGGCTTTGAAGGGGAAAGGATGCAGAACTGGATAGGCCTTTTTAATGGGACTTTTCTATTCATGCACAATTTTATTTTTTAATGAAATCTGTCATTTAATAATTTTCCCGAAGATGACCATGATCATGCTGAAAAAACTGCCTTTTTAATAGTGTGCTTTCTTCCCTCCCACCTTCTTTGAAACCTCTGGTT